GGTCTATTTCTCTTTTTATTTGTCAGAGAAAAAAGTTTAATAATAATGTTTGCGCGAATTATGGGAGAAAAGTGTTAGGTACATAGAAAAAAAAACATTTTGAAGAAACTCTATACGTTTATTTAAACGGATATATTCTGATAAAAAGATATCGTTGACACGTATGCGTTCGCACAGACGTGTGTTTTACGAACAAAACAGAAATACACGATCGTACCAGTCACCCCTTGGTTCGACGCGTCCATTCATTAGCACTTCATATCCTGTAGCGACGTGCTGGTAACGAGCCTGTCATAATTACCGTGCTAACTTTATTACCGCGGATGCACGCTCTCTCCGGCTATGATATTCGTGCGTCATAGGGCAGATCCAAGCCGTACCTTCTCGTTTTGTAGAAGGGCACGAAATGTAATCCCTCAACCATCAACCCAACACACAATATATACGTTACATCGATTTTCCGTCGCTATAATTATGAAAGAAAATCTAACACTTAAAAATATACACGCGAAAAATGAACAACAAGAGTCTAATTAACGTCTCATAGACATTTTTAATTGATACGACTTACTTAACAGAGTTGGCACAGTTCGATCTGATTAATTCGCGGATGTGTTCTAACGTCACGTAAATTATTACGCGATGTTATCGTCATTGCTGTGATTTTTCTTTTTTTTTTTTTTTTTTCAGTGTAAATGTAAACGCATAATTATAATTTCATTCCGTGTTTAAACGCCTTCTGGAATACGTTCCCTTTGCTGAGTTAAGCACAGGAACTGAAAACGCTAATATATCAGTCGAGATAGTGGCTAATTCGTACGTTCAGCGCGTTTGTTCACGGCACTATGTGTCCCGTAGCGACGTGCTAACGTCACCGCGTAAACGCAAAAGTTACATACTCATCGGGATCACTCGAGTAAGCAACGCCACCGGTGTGCGCGCGCGTTCTTCTAACACCACAGCACCTAATTACATTTATTCAATATTTACTACGATACGATCGCAACACACAGGTGCAGAATAGACTAACTGTGAGTCAGGTTGAATGAAATGGCATATCAGGCATTGCACAGTCATCCTCGCCAAGAACAGTCCCTCACATGGTATTTTTCGCCCTTTTCTCTTGATATTCATCCACATTTTTATCTTAGATTTGTCTCGTATTGCTCTAATAAACGTGACAGAAAATATGGAGTGCAATCGGCGATTTTTAATGTGTTATTTTCAACGTGTATTTGATTATATACATATATATATATATATATATATATATATACATATCTCCGTGCCGAACTTGGCAAGACCACGCACAGTTAGAACAGCAATCGAGTAACTCTACGGAATGATTGATGATTCCATTGTACAGAGTTTCCCATGTCCCGGGTGCGATTTCGTGCGAACGGCGCACAAAAAGCAGAGCGCCATTTCGAAAATGAGCGGAATTATGGAAAATTCTCGCCGGAAGATTGATTGGATAGAAAATTCTGATAAAAAGTTTACCACGGTCGATCCAACTTTTCAGATCCAGAGATGGTCAATGTTTAAATACACTTGTTTTTCAAACTTATATCATAGAAATGGATCTTATATGTTATAGATAAACTATATGTTATTAAATATTTAATAAAAATTAAAAATAGTTTGTTGCTTTAAAAACAATTCATAATTCTTTTATTTTTATAAAGAGAACTATTTATACAAAATATCGCGAGTAAAATAGCTATATGAATGAAAGAGAGAAATATTTTTTTTCCCCTAGGAATAGAGTCCACCTAAAAGTTCTGTCACAATATCTTTTTCTATTTTTTATTTTACGACGAAGGTTTCGCGGTTTTCTTCGCCCGCCGACACTCTTTTTTTTTTTTTCAATAGAAAATACGGTGCATCACTTGTATAAAGACGAAATCCTTCTCAAGGCCCCACGCGATTCTTTCTCCCAATAGACAGCTGTCTGTTCGTCACTAGACACCCGCTGAATTGTTGTGACTACTTCTCTGACGGACAGGACACCCAATATCCGAAAATCCGCTGTTTAAGACGTGACATCTGGGTGGTGCGGGACAATTACCGCGCTGAACACTTCAAACATAATCTTAAGCAGTCGACAGAAGTCAAGTTTACCATGTTTCTCGAAAAGCAAATATTGCTGGTGGGTAAACAGAAGCAGATAGTTTTCTTTCGGCACTATGAATTAAGAGTAAAATATTATTTTCAAATTTCTTCCATTGCGTTAGATATTATTAAATTAAATAAATATAAAAAAAACCTTCATGATGTCTCTTGTTTAAATATAAAATTACTTTGTCATGTTAATTGACCGAATCGTTATTCAATAAGTTTGAATTTTATGTTGCGTAATGTTGTGTGGTAATACAATGAATATATTATTGTCTGATACACATCTTCTGAGTTAAGCGTTACATTAAAAACTATTGTTAAAGAAGTAACACAAAGATGAGTATATTTGTAACACAAAAGAATGACACTTAGAAGACGATGGATTATATTGTGGCTTGCAGATAAAAGCCCAGGGTTGCTAACAGAGCGACTGCAGCTCAGCATGACAATGCAGGTGCCTCATCCCACGTCAAATCTCAGCGTGGCGCCGCAAGAAAAGACGGGTATACTGGACCGATTGAGTAGGCTATAATTGTTTAACGGGATTAACCCCGGGACCAAGTTTGCGCGTCGTTCGAGAGAAAAGGTGCTGATATTTATCCAGTATTAAACCAGACTAAACTGGAATTTATCCGTTTAATCCTCGCTAAATTCCATTAAAATCATCTTCCAAATATTTGTCCGACAAATTACACGGCTTCATTGATGAAATCTCGTTCGAAGCTGTAAATGTCTTCAGTTCTGTAAATGTCTTCAGTTCTACTGTGCTGTTTCGTTTTTCCTCAAACACATTGGAAATCGTGACGGAAACTTCAATTTATACTGAATTAAAATAATACGTAAATCCGCGTTACATGTCAAATTTAACGATGTACCGCGACCGTAGCTTGTATATATTTATTTACGTCAATAATCTTGATCGTCCCGCAATTGATTCGTCTGAAACTCGCGCGTATATATCTATGGGAAGTTCGAATTGTATTGCAATATACAAATAAGATATGTAAGTGCGCGTTCGGGTGAAAAAGATTAGCCGACAGCGGAATCAGAACTATCAGACGTCACGGCGGCTCCGATCAAGATGAAGATTCCCCGAGCTGATGTACGGGAACAGGACGGATGTCGCGGGTGGCCGCAGGTGGCGCCCTCGATATAAGCTCTTCTGACTGAACTGCTGATACGGGACCATGCTTCTAAAACTCTCACGGTGGAATGTGTCATCCTGTCACTGCGCTCTCGCACAGGGAGTAGGAGATATCCTATAAGCCGTCACGCCGTTCCTCCGGACGAGCGAACTCTTGTCACTTTTCTCAGATCCTTTTACTACCAAATACGTTCACAATTTGTCCATTAAACCGGAATTAAAACGATATTTGCGACGATCAATATAGCGGCTACACTCATGCACTGTAGACATACAGTCTGTGTGTGTGTGTGTGTATGTTTAATATTCAATTTTATATTACTATTATATTAGTCCTTTATACATGTCAATTATTGTTTATTATTATTGTATTATATTATTGTATGTATTAATTGAACATATTATTGATACAAGATTTTTTTTTAATTTCTTTTTTTTATTATCTTTTTTTCTCGGCAGATTATATTATGTATTTATATTTTTATTAAACGCAAAATATAAATATATAAACTGTAATAAGAACTGTAAGGATGTTGTTGCGGATATTGTTCCGTTTATATATTTCGCGCTTAGAAGTCTCAGAGCCTAAGATTCTTTATTAATTGTTATATTTTTATTATATGTTTTTTTAAATTTAAAGTTTATCGTCTATATTCTATATCTTTTAATTATCTAAATAGCAAAAAAATAATTTTTACAATAATCGACGTTATAGAAACTATAAACTTTCTTTATAAATTTGAGGGAGAGGAACTTTTAGTAGTTTTTATAACGGCGGCAAATGTGACCTAGTCCTTCGTTATACCTTTGGAAGTTGTGTATTGTCATGTCAGAGTCTCGACGACGTGAAGATGATGAATACCCCAGCAGTTTGAAGAGTCACAAATTGTTTCGTGCGTCGCACGTTTGTGTGACCGAAATATCTTTCTTATTTATTAGCCGTGACACAGCCACTAAATTAAATTATCCGCTTTTTTGGCGATAGAATATTGCCTACGCAAAAGCTTGCCTGCAGATGTGACTCGTCTGTTTTTTGCATTGCATCTTTATGATGCATTTTTTGTTTATACAAAAACAATTTTTGCAGAATAACTTTTACTGAAAAATTTCAGTAAAATTCGATCGTTACAATTGTAGCTAGTCTTTTTGACATTATTCAATAAGATCAGGCAAAAGAGATCACAAACCAGTTATAATTAAAACATCAACCGTCAGGTTATAATAAAAACGCAGGATGTTAGTATCTTGATACCTCGAGGCGAGTGAGACACGCAAGTACATAGAAGGACCCGTCAAGAGCGTGGAAAGAAAAAAAAAGACAGAAGGCACAAAACAACCTATCCAGGATAGAAGGGCGGAGGTTGCCTGCCTCCGGGATAGCATAGAAGGTGGGTACTGAGATATAATACCCGACTCCTACCCGCGACGATAAGTGTCAACTGCAGCGTGCCAGATAAAAAGAAGGAACGAAAAATAAAATTCACACTGGTGATCCATCATGAGGTAGTGGACTCGGGGCGCGCAGACTCGTCCACGATTGGTTGGCACCGCCCAGTCGCCATCACGTGACCACCTCTATGTGCCCGCCCATCAACAATGGAGACTCCCCCCTGAAACTAACCTCATGCAACGCAATATACCTCCACTCTGCTCCGGCTGGTACGTCCGAGGAAGAGAGAGAGAGGAGGAGAACTTGAACACGCCAGACCGCTGCGGTCAGTCTCACCTGTGTGTAGCTTTCTGCTACGCTAGTCCACCTCACCAGTCTACTCCAGCGGCCCATGTTGGACGGATCGACTGCACGAATGCTCGTATATGAATTGTTTCGCGTGTAGTGCCGTATTGACAATTTTAGCCTTTTGCCGAAAACTTCTGGAGCATCATCAAACTCATATTTGAATTTTGGACACGTACATCTTAAAATTAAACAAATATCCATAAAGGTGATACTTTTGCATCGTTTTTCAGTGCATATCCTGTGACTATTGTTATTTAAAAATTTCATAATTGTTTGTCTGTGATGCCAATTTTGTGTAGCCAACTTTGTGAACATTTTTATTTTCTTTGAGACTTTTTTAAGATTTTTACCAAATATTCACGAATTTCATATGTCTAATTACAATGAAACAGATTTAAATGTTTACTGTTCTGTGGCATTTGTATAATAAAACGAAAGAATTGTAATCGCTACAATGTTGAAATAATGAATCTAGGAAACAATGCACGACTGACGTCATGATGTAAATCATCTTGTCACTTCGTCTTGTTTCCTCTTCTCTCTGGACACTACGCATCCGAGTTACTAAAACAGTGGGTGGTCAATTGATTCGTCTCTCCGTTACGAGGATGATGATGATGGACATGGGCATGTACGGGACCTGCGGCAAACCTGACTCATATCCTAACTACATGTTCTCGGGTCAAGGAAATCATCACCATCATCATCACCACCACCACCATCAGCTCTCGTCCGTCGGCGGTCACGTGTCGGTGCCACCTTCCCCGGAGGTAGCCCCGACTCATTATTACCCCCAAACTGCAGTGGCGCCATATTCTTCATCGTCCTCCGAAAGTTTCCTAACCGCCGACTCGGGCGCGTCGTCTAGTACGCCTCCTCAGGGCTTCTACTCACCGACGGGCGCTGTTCTTCACGAGAATGCTTCCACCACAGCGATAATTTCGTCGGAGAACGGTCTGAGTTACACAAATCTGGATTACGCGTCGTCTTCGTCGTATTCGAATCAGCAGCAGCACGCTACTGTGAACTCGGTGGATCCGCATCAGAGTTATCACGTTCAACAGTCCGCTTACCGAGAAGATCATCATCATCATCATCACCATCCAGCCGCAGGTAGTAGCCTTCACCAAACCACAGTACCCCAAGCTAGTCACCCAAGAACGGAGCACGAGCAACAGCTTCATCATCAATCTTCTAGTCATCATCACCACCACCACCACCACGATCCGGAATACCAAATAACAATTGGTGGAACTTCTAATTATCTTCATCAGTTACCGTCTTCGGACGAGTCTTTGCACTACCAGACGCAGATACAGACGCAGAGCGATTTCTCCACGCACCCGTCAAGTCATTACAAGGAAGAGAATTCGGATGCGACTACCTATCACGTTCTGCAGCAGTCCGGTCATCTGCAACATCCCCATCAACATGGACACCATCATCATCAGCAGCACTCGCACGCGCAGCATCATCCGCAGCAGCAGCAACAACAGGCGCAAGTGCCTACGTACAAGTGGATGCAAGTCAAAAGAAACGTACCCAAACCAGTTGGTAAGTGCATACCATATTACGCAGTCAGTTTAAATTTCCGGTTGAGTCGACGCCTATGCGTAGTGCAAGCAAACTAGCGTGAAATTAGGTATTCTGTAGGCGCGATCCGGTAGCCACTCGTTAAACCTCGTTCATCGCTTGATTAGCCTGAAGTACAAAGATGCAGAATCATGGCCGTCTATCCTTCACATGGCCCCGTTATTTGAGAAGCTATCACATTGCCCGGCAACGTGCTTCTGTTTTTAAAGTTATGACACCGTGGGAATTCAATTAAATATGTTCGCGAGACAAACGCAAAATCGAGAAACATCTCACTTGTAATTAATATATCTTGCTCTCTCTTTCTAGAATATTAAAAATATTTTTAAAACTGTTAAATTAATATTTTCTCTTATGTATGTCTATAAAATATATTAAATATATCTATATATTTCATTTTAAATATAAATATACTCTCAAAATTAAACTCATACATAATTCTTCTTGGTATAATTTTTCTTAGTTTAGTCAATTTCTTCGTAACAAATAGAAAATTCCTTTGAAGAGCCTATAAGAAAACTAATATGTTCATCACTCAACAAAAAGCACTTTTCAGTTCCTGGAAGAGCAATTTGCTTTAATCGTGTCTCGTTGAAGATACTTTACATAAATTCAGTACATCGAAGTAGTACTAAAATAACACTTGATCGGAGATCAACAATTTTTACGAAGATGGTTCTCAATTAAGATTGACAAATAGGACGGGCAGTTTGTCAGAGACAAAATGTAACGTGCTGTTCACTAATCGTCAAGAGTCAGAATGGCTTTCAAACAATCTTTATGAGAATTAATAATGCGCGCGACACATAATCCCGATTTGCCATAATCATTAATCATACACGCAGTGCTCAATGTCAAGCTTACATTACACTATAATTTGCTACTACATTTCTTATCGATTTTTTCTTATCTGATATAGCCGAGATAATATTTATACATGTGTATTGATACCTCTATTAAAAAGTTAAGTTACAATTATAAAACTCAATATATCAGAAAGTGAGAAAGAGTTTTAAAAAATAATAACTCTTCTTTATCTTTAAATCTTTAAATTTTTCTATTACTAAACAAAAGAATAATTATACCATATTTGATTGTATTAAACATACAATAATAATAAATAATAAAGTTTATAATAACAGATTACATCATATACCGTCGAATATAAAATGTAAGTTTGTAGAAAGTTATCAGCACATATATATACGTACATATTTACATATCTTTTATATAATAAATTTCGTGCGTGTGAGCAAATGCAAATTTGATAATAGATAATAGATAAAAACAGTTTATTTTATATTTAAAACACTATATTAATAATATCTAAAACTGTGAAATTATACAAGTTATCATCGCGTCATTACGTAAGTTAACTTAATATGTTATACTGAAAAAAAATCAACTGTTCAATCAATTATCATTAAAGTATAAGAAACCGTTAAAAGACGCAGGAGGCAAAAATTGTTCTCACATTTGGCGATAAGAAAGATGATTTATAAGCAGATTTATAAATATCAGAAGCGTACAATCTTGTCTAGAATCTGTACGCGTACAAACATGACTTATTGAATTTATATTGTACAATAATAGCGGAAACATTAAAGATTACGCGATAAGATTTTTTGAATAAAAGTATAGCTTGTTCTTGCACTTGACTTTTATCATATTAATTATCTACTGATAAGATAGTTCGTTTATCCAGCAAGTACACATGTTTTCGTATTATAAATAAAGTTTAATGAATCAATTTTGAAGAGAATATAAAAAGAATAAAATGCATTTACTTATATATATAAGCACGAGATTTTTATCGTACATATGTACAAAAAATATATACAGCTTGTAAATTTTAACTTTTATAATTGATTAATTATCAGCAAGATAAGATCTTGTTACAAAGATGTCTACGGTGTTAATGCCCCAGTTGATGACTATGAAAAAGATATGTAACGTAACTCATTGAAAATAATGCTTAAAAAGACCGGAACAGAGAGAGTTCCCCTAACTTCACACTAATTTGCTTAACGGCCATGGTGCTCCCCGCAATCTTCGAACTCAAAGTGAGTGTAAGCTCAGTCGTTGGATGGAGCTTGTCGGGATTACCAGCGTTTCACTTAATAGCTCATTATAATCGAATTAATAACGCCAACGTAGGCACTAAAGGGAGTGACGTTTATTGCAGCAAAGCATGCAAACCGAAATGAAACTTTGTCACCCTCGTTTAACCCCTCTCGTTTTTACTCCAATTAGAATTTCGATGTTATTAATATATTACGTACAACTCATTGTCAGTGTGATGAATCTTTCACCACATTTTTGTCAAACAATTGATTACAATTAATTACAGATTGTCTTTCATCGGAGTAACTAGTTGGCAAAAGCTTTTTCTTTTTTTTTATGACAAATAAGAAAGTTTTGTGATTTTTTTCAGATTTATTATTACCTATAGATGAATTTTTATCGTTGCTTCAAATGATTGAGAATGTTTGAAGAAATATACAACTAAGTGTATTAAGATCGATAAGAGCCAATCTACCAGATGTACATGCAATTACATATACATTAATTTTTTCTTTTTTTAAAGCAAAAATCAATACACACAAAGATTTGCACATTAAATTTAATTCAAAGAAATACAAATATGTCGTATGTCAAATCAATATGATATTTATCGATGTTGTCCTATGACGTTTCACGGAACAAAAAATTACGTTTTTCTAAATGTTATTTTTTAAAATTTTGTTCTATCTAAAATGCGGGATATATTAATCAATTAATAAATATAGTAATTAATTAATTGAAAGCTAGTCAGAAAAAGATTATTACGGAAGCACGCAGCAAATACGTTACAAAAATTGAAAAATTCAAGCAAAGTAACAAGATGGGCGGAGCAGAGTGGTGGGGCGATTTCGGTAGATTTTGGTTGGTTAACTTTTTTGGTTGGTCGAGGACTTACAATAGCGTTCTTTTTTCCCTTCGTGCTTCCATAACATACTCTGGAGGGTCCAGAATAGAAGGTCTCTATGGGGACGCGCTCTCTTGCTGCGGACCACCCTTAGCCAAGATTGGAGCGAGACGGGAGACGGAAAGACCGTCGTGATGCTGTCAACCCGCCCAATCTATCATACTAAACTCGATTTCTTCTCTCTATACTCAATAGCAAGATTGGCAATACCACGCGGAGAAAAACCAGACAAACGAACGTCCCCTCCGTAACGCAACAATAATAATTCCGTGTAGTAGTAAAAATTACAAGTTGTATCATATGTATGTAATATCTTTTTAACAATTAATATTAAATATGAGTATCGTCCTCTGGCTTTTTAACAATATTTAAAAAAAAACATAATTATAATAGATAAAAATAATTAAATTATAAAATAATTATGTTTTTAGTAAACCAAGAATGTATCTGTGGATAGACATTTCTTATTTGTATACCGATTCACTTACCGAGTGTGTACTGACATCAAACGTAAAATAAATATTTATCGGAAACATTTTACAGTCTTCCCACGTTCAGCGTTACCCTGCTTCCTCGAAGACTATCACCTCTTAGTCTGACTTAAAATATGCATGTCGTTATCGACGCCCTGACCGAATATATGCAGGGGCGGCATTACAAAAGCTCGAAGCCCAAAATTCACCGCCGGCTGGTTCGCTTCCTTATGTTCTGTTCACACGCTTAGCTATAATCAAATATATCGTTTATTGTTGCACAGCACTGAAAAACAACAACACTGCTGTGTGCAATGTGCTACATTTTGATTAAAAAAAGATATTAATATACTCGACAACAATAAAATGTACTTAACACAATCGGGTCTTTTTATACGAAGTTGATAAGTCTTGGGAAAAGACCGTATAGATATGCTCCTGGTTTTTTTTTTATACAAAATTGTATAATGAATTTCTTTAGTTACGTGATTTCCTCTCACACACGAGTTCTCCGCCGCAATACGCTACAAGTGCATAAACAAAGTGCTACAGTCTTATCGATTGATAAACAAAACTGCTTCGTGACCGCGCTCGCACGAATGCAGCAAATTCGTTGACTATAAGCGAGTACAAATTGTGTCTCAGCGCGAGCGGATGCAATACGCCCGTCTTTTCTAAATATAAAATCTTCCTTCGATCAAGTTGTTCCGCGAAACTCGAGCGCAAAACGATGCCTCACCGGACATAACACGCCAGCCCTGAACTTGGGTGAGACCGAGATAACGATAGCGAAGGAAATAAAATGTACGGCAGAAAGAGAAAGTGAAGGAAAGACGACGGACAGAGGAACAGGGATAGGTGTGCGGAGAGACAAAACAAAAAAACAAAAAAAACAAGAGCACGAAGCTCCCCGGAGCCAAAGATAGAGAGGACGCGTTGGATAAACTGGGAAAAAGGAGCGAGATAAACGCAAAGAAGTCCGATTGAAGGTGGCGGAGGAGGAGGAAGAGGAAAGTCGAGCAAACGAGAGGAAGGAAGAAGGAGAGAATGCGGCAGTCCCAAGGACGGACAGAGAAGGCCAGAGATTGTGGGTAGAGTCGAACAACTGGCTGGGCATGTTGCTCGCCGCTCCGCTAGGGTCGCCGGCGGACGCGTGAGTGAGTGGCCCGATATCTCGCGAGGGGATCAGAGGATCGTTCGCGTGTTTCCACCCGGGCTGCCACCCGCCCGAACCCGGCAACCCCGGATCCCGCAACAACCCTGGCAGCAACTGACCCTCCTCGGCCGCCCCCTCCTGGTCGCCGCCACCGCTTTACTCCTGTCCGAGCGCGGCCCGACAGATCCGCTCGACCGGACTCCGACAACCGCCGCCGACGCTGTCCACGTGTCTCGCCTCACGGTGATTTTCATTTCCGCGCCGCGCTGCGCCGCTCCGTCGACGGCCGGCCGTGTAATCTTCCTTCACGTGGCTCGATCGCCGAAACACGCCTTCCTTCATGTGGACGGTATTTACATGTTACTTATGGTCGTCGTAAGCACGTTGTAAGTGGTACTCATCTCTACACGCGCGTGCTGACGAACGATTTTCGATCAAGTGATATATAAATTACAGACATATTTACAGAAAGTAAAATAATATGAAAAAAAAAATATATATATATATGTATACAAGAGAAATAAAATTTGTCTTAACAATTAATTTTCTTTCGATACGCGTATACATAGAATACGGAATTAATTGAAGCAGATGACAAGATTTCTCGTATTCGATGTACTATTCCATGTACTAAATCAATGTATGTACGTGCGCATTAATCACACGCAAGATTGAAGAATTTCACGGAGGAACGTGCACCACCCTCGCAGCAACACCTGTGCGCCAAAGCTCGGGGAGTAGAGCGAAAGGAGTGAAGGGGAATGGGGGGTTGCGTTGCGAAGAAAGCGCGCGAAACTTATCAACGACCCCCGCGAAGTGTCGTGCTGAGCCTAATTTCAGCGGGAAATGCTTCGGGCATATTCACGAACGCGTATACACACACACACACACACACACACACACACACACACGAACGTTAGGGAAGCGTGGAGTGTTAATGTCGAACGTGCTGCACGCAGCCCTTCAACGTACACGCCGTTGTAATACACAACGTTGCCTTTTCGTACTCGACTGTGACTCAGGATATTACCTATCATAATACTGAAATCAACGCGGCCGACGGGGCATGACGATGACTGACAAGAGGGTTGCGAATGGAAGGAACTGGGTGCCGATGAAATCGTTTTGTCATTTCTCGCGATAAATCGGATCAGTGGGTTTCCGCATACATATATCACCGAGAAAAAAATTTGAGCGAGTTTAGAGGCTCGGAAAATTTTATTCCGTATTTTCGTTTAAAAATTTCTTAATCGCGCGAATGGATTTTGATTAATCTGCAAGCATATTTGAAAAAAAAAAAAAAAAAACAACAATGTCAACTCGAGTGTAAAAGTATCCATGAATAACAGTTTAGTTTACGTCCTTCATTTTCAATGTATTCGATGTATACATATGTACATATACATGCAGCAGTTAGGGCTGTTGCAATCAGTGCACACGCAATAACGGCGAACATGTGGGAAGGCACTGTATGCATACCTGTAAGGAGAAACAGACATGCGGAACGAAGAATTTGCATCGCAACGTAACTTGGCAATAATATATTAATATTATTTAAATAACAGCAGTTTTCTATGTCAATAGCAGTTAATTTTAACAGCGATAAGTGTTGAATATTAACATTTTTTATAGTTACGCAACTTAGTATGCAACAAACAATAAAGTTCGTGCGTTGTTCGCTAATTTACTCGCGCGTATGAGGAATTGTTAGCAATAACAAGTATAGAACCGACGTGTAAGAGAAGAATGATAGAACAAAATTTGGAGATGCATACGAAAAATTGATGCGTACGTATCATTTCAAACTAACACTTTGGTGTAGGTAGGTTCGAGATATCTACGTGCACACGTGAAAATACACGTTGATGTTGAGGCATGTGATTTCTAACCGCGCGCATGTTGGTCTACTACCTTTGTTCGAACGTATACTACCCGATTAAATCTCACCTGGCTTAACATTATTATTTCAAAAAGCTTAGTAAGAGAGAGAGAGAGAGAGAGAGATGTATGTGCTGACAGAATAAATAAAAAATAAAAAATATTAAAAAACAAAGAAGTATATAAGAAGGAAAACGAACGGTCGCTTCGGGACGTTACTTACACGTACGTGTATATTCGATCGCTTTTGCTTTTGCGCGCCACGGACGAATATATCGAACCGCAAGAACCTCTCACACCCAAAAGAAACAAGGCCGGAAAACTGATAACGGAATTATGGACCTATTTGTGATAGCGATCTCTGATATCGTACACTAGAGTACACACTTCGGTACGTCTTTTTATATTTTTACTAACGCGCAAAGTGGTTTTTTTTTTCTATTTTGCTCGTGTGTATTAATTTTTATGATATTTGCGACGAGTATAAAAATAAAAGTACAATTTCTGATTTTTTCCCATTCTCCCGCATATATACCGCTAAAAATAATAGCTACCGGAGGGAGTCATAATCCGTTGATCATACAGGATCATCTGCTCTGATGCGCGCTCTTACGCATCGCTAGCCCCCCCTCCCCCCTCTGTCCCCCTTTAAGGAACATTACGCAATTCAAATATTATTCAAAGGCTAAAAGCCACAGGGACAGCTCTCACGGATGACGTAAGGAAAGGTAATAGTAAACACGCATACACACACGCACGCACACACACACACACACACACGTGCGCGCGCGTACTCGAGAGAATGCAAGAGATGCTCGCGTGTATCATGTTACAGGAAAGATAGATACGGGCGTATTGATGCTCTTTCCCTAATTCACAACATTTCTCTAGACTTTGAACGATGCATGGATTTGGAACAAAGTAAAATATACTATGAAATATTTCTATAAAGTTACTTTCAGTAGAATCTGATTTTTTTTTTTTTTTTTTTAATATAATATCTTTTTTTTACGACACATAAAACCGGTGTATCAAATATCCAGCTGTATTTGATCTATATCCAGTGTCTAGATTATACGCATCAACGCCAGGTAATCTATAATAGCTTCCTAAACAAATATGTATGTACGTCAAGTTTGTCGAAATTCAAGTAGTTCGCAATTCATATACGAGACGCGATGACAAGATACGTTTATGCATCTAAAAAAGGAAACGTGAAATTATACAATTTTTTTTTTTTTTTTTTTTTAAGTGTAGAAACAGTCGCGTTTGACAGTTTTAATAAATCACGTGCGATATTGATAAATTTTTTATCTCTCTTTGTCTCGAAACTTCTATCCGACGGCTTGAAATCGTCGACTCGCGGGGGCTCGCGCTGTTACGATTAAACTCCCGCGTCGCGTGATTACAGAGAATTCAGTGGAGAGAAACAATATAATCATAGTATATATATAAGCACATATCGCAAAATGCGAGTCCAAGGGTGTACTTACATTTTTCTCGTAGAAATTAGAAGAAATAAGTTTCAAATGCGTTTAAGTTCGACGAATTATATAATTAACCGATGCAATTTGCGATCGATGTGATAAGTTAACATTTTTTTTTCTCTTCATGTACGTGTCGTGTTTAGTTTTTAAATAAGTAAATGCAAATTCTTCTTATTCACGGGAACATTTTGCGCGTATCTGATTATTATTACGTGTATTTCTTTTATTTATATTTCTTTTCTTCGCACGTATATATCGCCTAGATATACGTATAATTTTATAATCAAAATTCGGAGATGCTTCTCTACGTACCTATATACAGCATTGTCTTCGCTATTGCTAAAGAAGGTTAGCGTAGAAAATCAACGGCGCCGCAGTCGGTCCTCCCGTTAAAGTGCTAAATTGATGAATGAGTCGCGGAAACGAGAAACATTTCATTGTATCTGGCACTGGCACGCCTAATAGAAGTTGTCCAAGTTTATTATTCGGCTTGGAAAAGCGTAAGCTTAATGGCTGCAAACTAAATTCAGGATCCTCGGTATAAGTGACTGATCTTTTCGGTTATATTAGGAAATTTGCACACAAAAGTCACCTCCCACAAAAGTATAGTATAAATACTTTTTTTTATTTTATGTGTGCCCACAAACTCATGTGTAAAACATATATATATATATATGTTTATATCTATCTATTTTGTAATTTGATTCTCGCGGGCATGTAAGATGATCGGAATATTTGCAATTTCTTGAACGAAAAACAAAAAAGGATGTTACAAAAATATCGAAGGACGTAGCTGAAGATGCTCAAGGAAAAATCTACATAATGGGAAAAGACGTGACTTTAAGGCGGTGGCTTGACAGTTTCGTCTATCCCCTTGCCATTAAGTAAATTGACTGCTACATACCGTGGTCTAAATAACAATCTAATTTTCATAATGTATCCTCATCCTTCCGTCGAAGCGCGTGCGCGCGCGCGCGCGCGTCACTTTTGTTCTCGATATTTTAATTGCATTATCAATTTTTCACCGAAAATGTGTTTGCGCGCATCAAGTTGGCGAAACGTAATTGATTATGAAAATTCGCGCGCTATATGCGCGAAAAGAACATATCGGCAAGAACGAAATAACAAAAATTTCACGTAACGATATACGTGACTTTCCGGATATTTGCTCTACAGCTGATGCAATTTGATCCAGATTTAGGGCTCAACCCTACCGTACTCGTTAAGCTTTGCACAGGTCATCTCTCCCTGAAACTCAGCTCCCGTAATAGTAGTGACCAGCTGTTATGGCCGGCGAACGACTGTCACTTAAAGGATTTAGCGTGATCTTGATTCGACACATATTACGTTCGTGTCTGTTCTGTATCACACTTGTTAGAAGAATCACGTCTAAATTAAAAGCAGACCAATTGTCGTTATCCAGCAAAGGCATCGCATTGTCATGTGTATTAACGTATCCGCGATCGATTTTACTGCAGCCATCATCAGTCAGTAACTTACTTCTCGGCTGCTTTGCGAAATCATGTATGAATCGCACGATTGGAATTGCGACAAGTAATGTCATTCTGTCATTTTGAAAGTATGGAAGTACGTGATATACAGAACTTATCTATTTTCCCGTTGGTTTTCTACATTAATTGTTCAAATTTTACAAATATATCTCTAAAAGCGAAAATTTTACTGAAGAGATAAGATTTTCGGCAGTTAAACTCCATAGACGAGAGTTGCAATAAAATACAAAGATAAAATTAAATCCCCATCACGCTCATTTATTATCGCGTATTGTAATTTGTTTCAGCAACGAAAGCGAATTCAAACGTCGAGTTCGGCGGTGGCGCGACCGCGGGAGCGAACACGTCCGTGTACGGAAGCACCGCAAGCGGAACGGTGAATTGCATCGCCGGTTCGTTGGCCGGTATCGCGGGTAGCTTCAACAATACCGGTCGCACGAACTTCACGAATAAACAGCTCACCGAACTGGAGAAGGAGTTCCACTTCAACAAGTACCTGACGCGAGCGCGACGCATCGAGATCGCTTCCGCGCTGCAGCTTAACGAGACGCAGGTTAAGATCTGGTTTCAGAACAGGCGGATGAAGCAGAAAAAGCGGATGAAGGAAGGCCTGATACCGGCAGATAGCACGAACGTGACGCCTCTGAGCGGCGCCAGGAGCAGCAGCAATTCCCCGACGGGCTCGTCGAATCACGAGATCGGCGGTCTCGCCTTGTCCAACTTCACCAGCGACAACAGCAGAGAATCACCTCCATCTTCCAAGGATTGACGCGATTTGTGCTGCAGTAATGAGCAACACTACGGTCTATGATTCGACGATTGGGAAATCGCTCGGTGGCCATCGCGAGCCCAATTTGAATCGTGAGACGACTTTACTGCAGCCACCACCAATCAGTAACTTACTTTTAGGCTGCATCGCGAAATCATGTAATGATCCGTGGAATTACGACAAGTAATGTCATTCTGTATCTTGAAAGTAGAGGTATGTGATATATGTATATACGGGACTTATCTATTTTCCCGTGTTGAGAAAACTATATATATGGAATGTGACATTGGTTGCTCTAATTCCATTCATATTGTGCGGATGTTCCAGATTTAGAATCCGGCGTGTGTAACTTCTCGAAGAATTCGATTTCAGTATGATTTTTTCCCCGCATTGTTTAATTAAGGTGATAGGTTGTATAATTTGTAACTCTGTGCGTGTTATTTATTTCTTCTTACGATACTTGAGATTTTCCGAGTGCGTTTTTTATGTAAAGTGCACAAGTTTGCATCGATATATTTCAAATTGCAAGGTTACCATGTATCTCGATTCGAATAGCGATGTGTACACAAATTTGTAAATGATTCAATTTGTCGATGATCAAACGTCGTTTCTATCGAAAGTCAAAGTTCTCAACAAACTTCCGAATATTATCTCCAATTTTGTCAGTGTGTTTTTACATTAATAATTACGTACAAAGAGAGAAATTTAATTAGATCTTTTAAAAATCGTCGACTATTGAATTTTATCGGTAACGTACTTAACACGTAAAAACATTTGGCTCCCATTTCTTCTTTTAACTTATTAAATTTTATTAAACATATATTTATAAGCAAAATTTTTTCTGACTCATGTAAAGAACGAAACGTAATAGAATTAACACGGTAAATTGTATTAATTATTGCATATTTTATTTCCGCGTTGAGCGCGAAACAGAAAGGAACATCAAAATTTTATTATTCAATTATTTTTTTTAACCCTTCCAGTATACATTTCTATAACCAATGATTGTTTGTATCAATTGTCAACATCTCTTGAAAAACTTGTCTTACATTTTCTGTAGATATGTTTAGAGAAAACAAACATTGTACTATTAATACGAACAATTTATATATAACATACTATATATATAAAACTCGTTAAAAACTATGAGAAATCAAGTATTAAAATTAATGAAGTAGGTGTTTTGCGATCCTCTGGTTTATTTTTTAATATTGTAAGCTGTAAAAGCAGTTGAGATGCAAATTATAATTCAAAACATCAATACTGGAAGAGTTAACTCTGTCTTGCTGTGCGAACTATATATTCTTCAGTAGCAATGCAAGTAAAAAATCAAACTTTGAAAGATGAAATTTATTCTATATTTGCGTGTAATATAGTCGCTCCTGTCCAAATATGAATTACTAATCAACTGTCACTACTAAAAAAAATAAAAAAAAAAATTAAATAATAAAAAATTCAGCTATGATGATGTTTGCTTGGAAAAAAAAGATTTAAAATTATTTATGATCGATTGTTTGCTCTAAATATTCTCACACGCGAATATAGATTATTTCAGTATAAATCTATACAGATGCGAAATTAGTTCAATGTCTTGACATTTATCTTACCGCGTGATAACAAAAACAAATAACGAAATAGTACACAGAGATATCTCTCGTCGTGGCGAGAAATTATCTAAATGATAATCTGATAACTGTGGATCTATTTTTTCTTTTCTTGCTCTCACGAGAGTGTGCATGTATTTATTTGTAAATAATATTCTAAATAACATTATCGCGCAAACTATGGGCCAATAAATTAGTTGTATGCATGAAATTTACAAAAAAAATAAATAAATAAAGAGTTCCAAAAATCGATAAATTTATGGAAACATTTATATCGTATATAAATATATATATATATATATATTTCCTAACACGATCGCGAGACGATTCGTTCAAATAAAAAGTTTCCGTATTTCCTATCCAAATTAATTCGCGCACGTTTAAACACACACATATATATATATGTACGAAGTAACGTAATCGTATGCATATTTACGTGAGTTACATGGTGGTCCATCTTCGAAAATGCTGTGTACCTAAACCCCCATCCCTATTATGGACAGAAAACCGTCATTAAACCCTGTAGGTACTTATGTAGACCAGTGTAGAAAGAATAAAATATTATTGTATTATGCGATGTATATCTTTATATTCCTTTCCCCGACATGTGCAACAGTTGTGCAAGTACTCTTGTCTTAGTTCCACTTGATTCGTACTTTTGTAAAAAAGATATACACACTTTTTTGTTATTATTTATATAACTCATTAATTTGCTATGCAATGACATTTATTTGTATTGGAGATTTGTCTTAAAATATCACTTGCTATACTAACACATTACTCTTTGCAAATTTAATAACAAAACATCTTTCTTTTAATTTTCTATTTATTTTATACTTTTATACTTTTTTATGTTGTGAGATATGTACATCTGTACATTGCAAAATATTATATTTATATTATTCTTGAAATATATCGAATCAACGCGCGCGCGCATTTAGCATGGAACAGAACCACAATCGGACAGATAGCATTTTTATTCGCTAAGTTAGCTCGCGTAGTTCACGTGCACAAAACGTAAATATCGCGGCGCTCGTGAAAGAGAAACACGTGAAACGCGCCAATGACTGCTCTCAGGTTTTCTTCCGTGTCAATGCTAAATTATTATCACATTATTCAATATCAAGTTCATATATTTCGATCTAATCCAAAAGCATGGACCTGTCATGAACAATTGTTATTGAACGTTGTTCAAGACAATTTGATTATGTTTCCTGTATACAAGCAATAGTTTAAAAGCTATATCGCACAAGATTTGAAGTACTTACAGTACTTCAATTATTTCGAAAAAATTGAACGATTGTATATGTTCTGATTTTGTCTCTGATACCACTATAACCACGTAAATGTTGAATAGTGACACGTAAAATAAGAAAAATCTGCAACAATGAGCAAGGAATCAAAGCAAAAAACACGTGAAATAGAAGACTATCGTGAACGGTTAATAAAACAAAAAGAATTTTTGAAAGAAATTTTAGCCAAAGTTGAAAAGCAGATACTCGCACTAGAGGTAAGTGAGAGAAGGTAGAGAAAGGAAAATTGTTCGGATATATTACAATATAAGTACGCGTTAAATGTGTGTGTTTAGCACACACCTCACTCTTTATTTTACAAATTTTTGGCGTAAGTTTTCAACGAAAAATATTCAAAATAATTTTTTAAAAGATGATGTTTTATAGGTTGAACGATTACACTTGAAAAATACTTTAATTGGAACAGCTCATTCAAGTACAAAAACAGCGCCGAAGGATCCTTTGGCAACTGGCAGTTTGAAGTCATCAAATAAGCAAACAACAGACAATTCAACTCCTCAAACGGAGCAAGAATTAAATCTAGATGTACCAACAGTTAACAATGATTTTGAAGAAGAGGTTGAAGATGATGAGCTAGATTTCCTTGACGATATTGAGATTTAATATATAGTCTATGTAATTTTTAAAACATTTCACTCTAGGTTGTGATACTATAAGTGAATGCTATGGGAAAACCAAAACTATCCTCTTTAAAATTTATATATTTTATAAGAGTGTAAGATATATTAATATATTAATTTTACACTAATAAAATTGTTTTTTACGATATTACATCTGTGCAATGTCATTTTTGTAACTTGTATTTTGTAAGTATTTACAGGATGTGTTCTTAACTAGCATAACGTGCGGCATTCTAATCAGAGTCTGAGGAAGGAACACAGGTAACAAAAACAAAATATTCAACTTTGTAAGTCTAGGATCTTCGTACTGCGTGTAAATTTAACATTGGCAAAAAGAAGATGCTCAAGTACGCTCCAACAAAGAGATGTCATTATTTGAGCATTTCCATTCTAATTTCAAATAAAACTAAATAATTTAGATCAACATTATGACGGATAGCCTTGTTGTGATGCGCCAAGTTGTGAATCTTCCAGTGTAGGCGGTTTGAACTGTTCTGCATTGAGACGTGTGAAACAAATTCCTATACCCTCAATCAGAGCTAACAGCACTCCGCCAATGATTGCACTGCCTACCATTGCCGGAAGGCCATTTCTCGCAGCTAAAATCCCACCGGTGGCTGCTCCGCTGATAATTGAATTATAAGGATCTTCTTTTCCTCCTCTAAAATGGACTAAGGTGCAATCAATTGTGGAAAACATTCCACCCCATACTGCAAAACTTCCAGCAATGATGGGTGCCCGTTGTCTGATGGCTACAACACTGCCTGTGAAACGATGCCTCCATCCGCTGGGCGCATTGCGAAAGCCTTTGATACTTTGAAAAATCGCTCCTCCTATAACCCCCATTGTGAAAGCACCTCCACAGTCGTCTACTATTCGCCATGGACACGGTTCTCTTGCATACTCCTCCATAGTTTAAAAATCTGTTGTAAACGTAATAATGAAAGCTCAATTATGTGATTTTGATAAAATAACAAAATATAAATGTACATATAAATAAATACTACGGCAACTTGACGATTGTTAACTTATGGTTACACCTGTCAATTATGTTTAAACGTTCATAACCTCGATATGAGAAAACGTGTCGCGGCGTGATTTAACAAGGATGAGATCGATCTCGAAAAACAATGTGACACATCTAAAAATGCATGTATTTCAAATAATGCATTACGTAATTACAAGCGTATGTTTATAAATACGTTTTTTATACGTGTATATACATTTTATAAAACAAGAAATACATGAAGAGTAACCGCAGTGAGGTTAGAGCAGCGTTTTTCATCTTTTTTACAGCTCAAGCACGTGTAACACCATCAGAAACTTTATTCCGTGTCAAATACAAATCTTATCCTCTACAAAAAAAAACAATTTATCGTTATATTTACCGTAATAATTCTAATCTTTAGTCACTTTAACCGGGGCGAAAAATCCTCAAACACGCTATCCTTCCACTGAACACGCAAAAGAAATAGTATGATGAAACATATCTTCTTATATTACTGCAGCGCCGATAGATGTCTTCTGCAACGAATTGCGACAATTTTAATTTTACTGTAATATCAGACACAAAAAACACGTGTGTGATATCTAAAGATAAATAACACAATATAATATATTCATTAACAATGTAATATATTTATTAAGATTTTTCTATGTTACAAAATAATTTTTTTAAGCTCAATGTTTCATTATTAATAACAAAATATATATATATAGACAACGATATAGTCAATTTTATTTAAACAATAGTTATAATTTTTACAAGTAAGTACAATAAATAATATATTAAATATATTATTCTAGCGCAACACAAAAATAATATTTTTTACTCTTGATGGCAATCTGTATATAGATTTATTCATTTTAATAAACAGTGTAAAACAATGAATAAATATTTACATATATATATATATGAAAAATTATTATTTCTTTATATTTGGAAATAATACTTTCTCGCATACAATGTACACACATACAATGTAAGTACTTTCATTTCTCTTACGTAGTTTGTGTTCTTACAATTCTTTTTTAGTCACTTATCGTACCTATTAGATTTATATCTCTTAAATTAACTTTATGTCTGGCATACTTATTGTCATGATAATTGATTATGTCGAAGATATAATTTAAAATACATTCGATTTGTTTACAATATGTTTTTTGACAGAGCGCAAGAGTGAATCAGATTTGCGTGCACGTCTAGTGACTATGAGCGCTATTTCGCACGACTCGAGCGAAGTCGCTCCAACTACTTCGTACACTCTCATAAAACAACGATCGTAACAAAAAAAAAATATAATGTACTTCCCACAAATCTTTTCAGAATAAAACAGAGAGAACTGTCTTGTGAAACTCATCATAATTCAACACTAGAGCCGCTGCGACGAACGTATCGATTAAAATAATCTGGTCGCCAACATTTGCAGCTTCCTGGCACCAAGAACCAATCGTAATACAATCGTACCTAAGAGTAAGAGAAAAAGAAACAAGGATTAAGAAAAACATAAAAATGGTAAATTACTAAGTGACGATAAAAAAAAAAAAAAAAAGATAAAGTTATAGTCTTACTTGGAAGCAACCCATTTCGTCGACACCGTCACAGTGATGTTGCTGAGCACCACCACCACCGCTACGTGCTTCTCCGGTGCTCGCACGTTTCTGCAGATATTGCTGATAATTCTGGAAATCATGAACCGGTGGCGGCGATCCGGCAACGGGATCCCGAGTGCCGGACCCGATACCAACACCAACCCCTTGATTATCTTCTAAGAAGGTGTCGGGATAAAAAATCTCAGCGACCAATAAGCTCGTCCATCTCGGCGACGATAAGCATCCACCGTCCAAGTAATGACACCTCGATTGCCTGCAATGATCAACGCGTACTTGTTATGGTAGAATTTTAAAACTAAGCTTGTTTTATTGCAACTCGATAAAAAACTTGAATATACTTTACATGCATCTGGTGAGCTCGATGGTCTGTGTGAAATAGCCTTCGTACGGTATCTGAACCACGTATCTCCAAACACCTTGATAGTTTTTGGCAAAGACGGGTGTTGCGTATTCAACCTTGGCCGGGCATGGGGTTGGCGGGCCCGTATATTCCGGCTTTTCCGACGGCACGCGTTCCCCACGTCGATAATCGGACGTTGGTTCATCCCGTCGTTCGATGGTCGGCGCCGACGACGCAAGTGGCTCGCCTTGAATCGCCTTGTATAACATGCATACTCTACTCGTCGGAAAGAAGAAGATTGAGAAAGAACAAGGTGATGTGTGTAGCAGATATATTAAATTTTGTAATTTAAAAAATATCCTTACACTCCGCTCCCGTTGTCGCAAAACTTGCGACCGCTTCGACTAGAGTCCGACGTCGAGTCCAGAGAAATGGATCTTCTGCTTCTTCCTAGTTTTTCTTCGTCGTCCGTATCGACACTGAGAAAAGAAATCATTACCTTGATAATCAGTATATTTAAAAAAGTAAGTTGATTTAAAAAATATGAACAAGATAAATGATCTCAAGTTTTTATTATTGCAACAATATCTGGTGCGCTGAAAACATTTTGACTTACAAATTCTGCGACACCGAATGAACTTTGGCAACTTTTGGTAACGAGTCATCAGCTTTGAGAATCGGTAACGTCTTACTGAGGAACTTGAGAGTGTGATTCTTTATCAACGCGCTAGAAATAAAGTTAACATTTTATTAAAATTATGCGATAACAAGGTTTACATGAATATGTAAACTATCGTTTACTTACAAAGGATACGATGAACCATTTACATATTGTTTCATTGGATTTCGCGGAACGTAACCTTTGTTCAGATCGCCGCAAATATTATGTATCGAGACAAATCCCTTTCCTTGTTTACCAGTATCTAAGAATAAAAAAGACTCTAACTTTTTATAAAAACTTATATGTAGCAACAATATTTGAAGATGCTTCGTTAAATTAAGTCACTTTGAGCGCGCGCAAAAATTTTATTCCAGACCTACCGTAACATTCCTTATCACTGTCAATATACGGCGGTGGTCGAACTCTAGGTGGTTCCGCGTTCGGCGATTCGACGAACGCATAATATCCCTCCGGAGGCTCGTCTCCTCGCGTGGATTCGTTGTCGTTCGCAACCGGTTTTGTATTTCTGGATCGTTCGTTGCTTTCGGCTTGGGACGATGCACATAAGAGTATCATCTATGTACGTGAAAATGCGATAATAGTACAGGTGCTCGGTTCAACAACGCGTATTACATTGGCGATTGCGTAAAATTTAAACAAAAAAAATCATCTGTGATGCGGCCCTGAATAACGGCTAACAGGTGTTACGTTATAATCGCGTCGGGTACCGGCGCGATTACGAGATGCTCCTTCGTAGTTATCGAGGTATGCTAACGGTACATGGTTCACATTCTTCGCTCGAAGCTGTTCAGCCTATTTTATAACGCGTATACGTATATTACTCGAGCGTTGCCCTACTAACCGATGCATTATACCGTTCATCTGACAGTCTATTAACATTCTTTTTGTTTAATACACAAGAATTAATATATGACTAAAATAATTAATCCAGAAGAGATGGTGAAATGTGTTATGTAAGATGTTTTACATTTTGACGCAAGACATTGAAAAAAGTTGTTTGCTGGAAATAGCAAAAATGAATTATAGAAGATTAGTCATTAAATAAGACTAGCAAAACAATTTGCTATTAAATTTGTTGCTTTGTCAACAAAATATTTTATCAGTTAGACAAAAGATTAAATAAGCTTGGCCAATTTTTCTTTGACCGATTGTATAATAGCAAAATATTTTTTGTGTTATCTTAACTACTTACTTTTTTGTGTTAACTTAGTTACAAAAATAGTTAAACATCTTTTTGTTAGTCATCTAAATGTTAAACTATTAAATGTTTTCAATGTATAATAGAAGGAGTGACCTCGGAATATTAAATGTTTTTTTTTTTTTTATTTTTTATCATTCAATTGCATAACATCTTGATACAGTTTTGCTACGATTGTCGAGACAGACAGGAAAGCGACAAACCGGAAATTCTTTTTACTTTCAATATTCAATGAATATAGTAAAATTACTATATTTGATGAAGTAACATAGTAATATATATATATATCAGTAACACAGATGAGTTATATATAATATTTTAAATTAGATATTTGGTAGACGTGATACTATTTGTGGAGGATCTTTGGCACAAAAATTTTGTGCGCTTGCTCACATTAGGTAGATGCGTCCTACTTTCTTACGGATAGGTAGATTCCAGTGTTAGGAAGAGCCAGATACAGTTACGAGGACAATGACGTCTCTGAACCGGTATCAACATAAACGGTAGACTCCATTTATGGCGATGTGAATAATAGTTGTAAAATTGTTGACGCTGTCACACACACACGCATACATCTTAGATCGCGATTTTAGAAATGCAATTTTTACACAAATTTTTGCATTATTTTCCTCTGTTCTTATTTATTTATAATACAAACAGGGTTTCTGTAAGATATCTATACACATTTTCTCGTTTTTAAAACATCTTTTAAATCAATTTTAATTTCTTGTGAAATTACTTTTATTTCCTTCACCATTTCTTCAACTTCTTTATGCGATTTTACTCTTTTTCTTTTGTATATATTCGCAAAGTTGCGATTATTTTGAAATTTTTATTAATGTCAGCTCAAATAAGTTACATACTTTTTATTTAATTTTTATAGAGTTATAAGTTTCTTGCGTGTCACCTGCGTTAACTTATTGTTTACTTTCACATTTTTACACAGTAAAAATTGTTTTTAAGAATTAAAATCAGAAAGACGGTATTTCTTAATTATTATGATTTGAAAAAGAAAACAATTTGAGTGACAAAACATCGCACAAATTTCAAACTCGTTCGAGCATCCAATGTAGATAAAAGAAGCTACGCGTGAAGAAGTTGAAGTAGTCCATGTGCAATTTGCTTCAAGAAATGTACGTGACTTACGACAAATATGCGAAATTCCATGACGAGTTAGTCCAGTGTGTGAAACAAGAAAAAAAAAAAGAAAAAACGTCCACTTCGCGGAGACGCGGCTGTTCCTTTCGAGACTATCTATTCCGCGAGTCGTTCTCAGGATCTGTGTCTACCAGCCAACGGTCATAGCAAAACTGGATTTCTTTCGATCTGCATCGCGCTACTTGAGCGGTCACTTGCCTTCACCTCTTCGGCCGCGTACTTGACCGTCGCGTGGTAGAAGGAACGCGCGGAAGTATCGACCTCGGTATTTAATGAATGCGGGGCACCGAATACAATTAAAAATTACAATACAATTGGAAGAAAATTCTTGAAGAAACTTCTCCGATAAATGAAAGTAATAGTAAAGAATAAAGTGTTTTGTACAATAAAACTTTCTCTTATATTAAAAAAAAGGAAAAAAAGATTGAGTATTTTAACTATAGATTCTAACTGATATATATGTATAGTACAATTTGATTTAACAGCGTGTATATACCACAGAATACACCTTTTATTATATATAAAATTATACAAAATATACATCAGATTTACTTAAATTTTTTGCGAACGATAACATTGAATCAAACGATCGTATTGGACATCACAAAATAACAATCAGTAAGTGACGTTCAGTTCCGTCTCGTCTTTGAGATAGATAAGAACGTCCTTCAGTATCATGTTCGGTCCTTCGAAGCGGAAGTTTGAGAGAGGTCTGTCCAACGGGAATCCGAATGGTTTGGCATCGAATTTCGTGTCTCCGAAGATGCGAGACGTGTAAAGCTTCGGTTCCTCTTCAACCGGACTGATGTACACGAAGATCTGGAAAGGCATGCCCTCCTTCTTGCCCTTAGGCAACAGCAAACGCTCCGGGAATCCGAAGACGCGTTCCGCGTAGGAGATAGATTCGGAACCGTCCAGACCCTTCAGTATTCTCTTATAGAACATCTCGCTCGGTTCCGGATCGGGTATAACGAAATAGCAGTCCTTGCTGTTTCGGATGATCTTGTTCGCGCCAGCGTTCACTGCAACATCAAGAAAATCAAATTTACTTTTAAATTATAAAAACTGATTGCTTACTTACGCGCACGTGTGACAAGAAAAGTTCGATCGTAAGAAGAAATTTGAAGCTGTTGTACTAACGCTCGACTATCCAGTTATCGATTTCGTAAAAGTTCTTCGCGTTTTCGGCGAAGTCCAACAGTTTGTGATGAACGTCGTATTTCGGTCCGAGGAAAATGCGTATCGCGGCTTTCATGGGTTTCTCGGCGTTGATGGCGAGATGGAAACTGAACGGTTTGTGATTCAGACGATATTGGCGAACCTTGATCAACGTTTTCTCAGCATCCTCCGCGTTGTCGAGCGCCAAACCGTTGCTGATCGTGGCGTCGAATTGATCGAAGTAAGTTATCAGTTTGTCCACGACGAGAGATTCGATTTTTAACTCGGGGAAGATAATTTCCTTCATCGAGTACGGTTCCAAACGTTGTTTGTATCTAAAAGTTATGCTCACACGTGAAAAACAAGTTGTCCGTTTAATCACAATAAAACTAAATCATATTGTATCACAACTTTATATTTTCTTCACACGTTACCTGTAATAATAATACTCGAGTATTCTGTGATAGAGACGGTAGAACGCGGGATCCCTTGAAGATGTGGTGAACATCTCGAGAGCGCTGGGTACAATCTGATAAGGCGACGAAGGCTCCAAATTGTATCCAAGAATCTTTCTCGCCAAGTTGTCCAGACTGCCGTAAAAGTTGGCATTGCAAGAATCTTTGTTTCCTTCAATAATGTTGCCGAGAATGTTGAGACCCTCCGGCGTGTAGATGTTGATCCACTTGCCGGACGCGTCAAAGACAAATCCGGAATCAATGCCAGCCGAGACTCGAGATTCAATGTCTTCTAATTCCTAGATTTATAACAATATAGATCAACTGTATAATCGCGATAATGAAAAAACCTTAAACTCAAATTTTCTCTTAATAATACAATTATCTTGGCAGTTTTGCAGATAAGTCGCACCTTCAAGCACTTGTATTTGTAATACGGGAATTTGCTCCAGTACGGTCTCTGCGGCAACGGCAATCCGTTGCGGAAGGTCATCGTCGGATAATATCCGGTGTAGAATTCGTTGTGCCAATCGAAGTCCTCGATCTTACCGACGTCGTTGGACAGACGTTCCAAGTTGTAACGTGCTATCAACAGTTTGTGACTGTAAAGATATTCCTCGCCGCGACTCTTCGGCAATCCGAATTCCTCGCTCTTAAGCCAGAACGGGAAGTTCAATCGCAAGAAGAAGTAAAAGGCGTTCAAACCGATGTCCTCGGTGTAATAATTCAGCTTGTGCTCCATGTCGTATTCGCGCGACACGTACCATCCGGAATAATTCGCCGGGATTATGTAGACGTCGGAACCACCAAATTTCTTCGAGTCTAAAGTCAATTGTCAGTGAAAATTACAAAGAGAACGATTGAAAATCACAAGTTGTATATTGAACCATTCTTTTCTTTTAGTTGGTAAATATCATTGTCTTTGTTTTCTAACAAAAAATTACATTTAAAAAAAATTACATTAATGAGAGAAAATAGTGCAAATTCAAATACGATATTTACCGAGTTTACCGAAGAATTTTGCGTGATGAGCCTTTTCGAGAACTTCGGAGTTGAAGAAGTCGTACGGGATCAGCTCGTAAGGCGGCGGAAGCTGAATAAACTTGGTGTCCTCGCGGCGTGTAACGGCAGTGTACAGGGCATAAGCGTATTGCATCTCGTTTATGTAAATGCGAGCCCATAATGCCGTTTTGTAGAAGGTATCGAAGTCCTTGGCATAGTAGAACAGACGGAACAGCGCTTCCGTTTCCTTTTGGAGCTTCGGGTAGTACAGGGAGTTCAATTCGCCCCGTGGAAGCATGCCATTTTCGTACAACGAGATGAAATTCTTCACCGCAGACTGTAAAGCGTACAAATGTTTAAATAAATGGATGAGTGTAAATCGTAAGTGTTGCGTTTTTACGAATTACATGGTAAATTTAATCATCAATCATTAAGATAATAATTCTCTCCATAAAAAATTAAATGTTATGAATAAGTAGCTTTTAAAACTATTAAAATAAATAACTATTTACGTTCCAAACTTTGATGTTCTTTTGATATAGAAATTAGTATTGGAAACTCAATCAAAGAAGAAAAAACAAATTTAAGCAAAAAACAAATTGTTACTTTAGTTAATTTTCAAATCAGTGTTTTAATACTTCTCGAGCCAACTTCACATTCTGACAAAGAAACAAACTGCATTGTGTTTTGACTATTGTATATTACCGGATCCTTGTAAGAATCGATGTTGGCCTTCAATTTCTCGATATTGTACAAACGGCCTTCCTCGTACAAAGAAGGGTTTACAAGGGAGGGTTGCGAGATGAAATACAATAGGTTGTAAATTTTTTTCTGCTTAAGAAGAAAATCCTTATCAGCGAGCTTCACGGTATTGTAGTCGGCTGCTACCAGACCGATGCTGACGGCCGCGATGACGGCTAACACCGTCAAAAGCTTCATCTTCCGGACTTTTCCTTATGTCCGCAGAGACTAACTCTGAGCTGCGCCGACACCGCGTAAACAATTTTATATATCTACGTCAAGCGCACAATCAAATCAATAGGTCATAGGGGACAATTTCACTTGATTAGACAATTGACATTTGATATCAAATCGAAGAAGTTCTTTGCACTCCTTTCAGCCACTGATAATATGCTGGACTTTCGTCCAATAAACAAATATTTTCATTAGGTTACAAATGTAAAATCGGTTATAATATTTATTCGCACAATTATTAATCATTAATCGTTTGAATTAATTACTTAATTAATTGTTTATTAGTGAATAGAAGTTCTTACTTTTTTTATTTTCTCTCTTTCTCTTTTTTTTTTTTTTATCTATTATACTTGAAAATTTTTTTAATCTAGTCTTTTTTGATGAGAAGAAGAACAATTTTTTAGAAGTAAATTTATTTTCCATTTTACAAGTAACTGTATGTGAGTGTATACAGCTTGAATATATTATTATTTTTTTTTTTATAATACGGATACATAAAAAATTGTACAAATTTTATATACTTTACATGATAGATAATTTATATGTAATATTTTTTTAATTTTTGACGATAATTATTCTTTTCATTTTTAATGATTTCAATTCTAATGCTATAAATAGTCTACTCTATAGTAATGAAACTTTTGTCTCAGGTGATTTGTGTGGTTGTGTCGCAAAGAATGTCAGTATTAAAAATAAATGTTATTCGTGATAAATTTGTTGTTGTTTTTTTGCGAGAAAGGTCATCGCATGGGACGTGTCTTCGAAAACACATAATCGCATTAAAGCAGTCTAATATATTGCATAAGTATATGTTTAATACATGACTCGAATCCAAACAAAAATTAATAAATTTCGTGTTCTACGCGCCTTGCACCTTGATTATTTTTGTATTTCTTTCTGAAATAATACGATTTTTTGCTTTTTGTCAAATCCTGAATGTAAAAACTAGCTTATTCTTCCTGACATATTTATGTGCAGAAAAAAAATGTATTTTATATGTTTATTTTTCTAGTTTATTAAAACATAATTATTTCTTTATTATAAATAATTGTTTTACTTTGCTCTACATTCTAAAGATTATGCACATAAGAATTCGATATATTGTGCATTCGAGTTGCATATTCATAGGTATGTTATGATTGACGTATCGCAATAGTGCATAAAAGTGTTGCATGTCAGATTGATAACCAAACATCTGTGTGCTTAGACAATAGAAAGCACAATAAATCGCGATTTATTAAGTCTGGGCAAATCGTATCGCATCGTTCGTAGAATAATTAACAATCAAAAGGTCTTCCCGATTTTCGTGACCCGTGATAAATGCTAAATAGCTATGCTGTGTTGTCTTGTTGTTGTGACCGCGATAACATAAGTAGTGATTGTTTGCGTCTTCGATAACGTTAATTAACATAATTATGCAAACTTAAACCGAAAAATATACGTTAATTATATATATATATATATATATATATATATATATGTATTCCCTTCTACAGATAAAAAAAACTCTACAGTTTAAAACAAAAACTCAAGTAAGAACTGTATATTATTTGGATAATTTATGCATTCTCTCTTCAACAACAATTGATGTGTCACTCATCTCATTTTGAACGCATTTGCATTTCTGCTCAAAAAGACAAGGATTAAACGAGAAAATAAAAATAGCATCTAGAAACTAAAAAACACAGGAACTGCTTGACTAATAAAAAATTACTGGTAAAGAAATAGATTAAAGTCTCGCATATATTAACATGAGTGATCAAGTTTAAAGTTTAAAATTCTACATATATTGACTCACATATATTCATTGCGCATTTATTTATTGCACTATAAATATTGAAGCAGTAATGATGCGGTGTCTATGCAGATAAAGAACATAAAAACATTATTTTAACATTTCTATGTTTTCGCAACTTTCTATACAAACTTTTATTAAATGTTTATTAAAGTTAATAAAGTAAATGTATATTAGACATCTGTGTTTAATATGAATATTTTCACGTGATATTATATACGTACGTTTATAGCGGATAAAAATATTTTTATCATTTGTTATATGGCAATTATTTTGCCATATATTACAATAAATAAATGCGCAATAAATATATGTGAGTCAATATATGTGGAATTTTAAACTTTAAACTTTATCACTCATATTAATATATGCGAGACTTTAATCTATTTCTTTACCCGTAATTTTATTAATTAATCAAGCAGTTCCTGTGTTATTTAGTTTCTAGATACTATTTTTATTTTCTTGTTTAATCCTTATCTCCTTGAGCAGAAATGCGCTCAAAATAAGATGGATAAATAAATAAAATCTCGCGGAATAATCCAAGTGAAGATAAAGTTGAATACAAAAAACAATAAAAATATAAAATAAAACTTATTAAAAAAATTTATTTTACAATTATATATAAGATAATTATATGTAAAATAAAAATTAATGGATCAGGAATCGGAATGAACGATTTGGGAGTAGCATTTTGAAGTGACGCGAGAAAAAAAAACAGATAGAAATAAATGATTAAAATTTATTTCAGGTGTAATTTTTCGCACTAATTACATATGAAACACTCTCCATTCGTCTGGACGATGTAAAATACGTCGTATGTTACGTATATACATACACTGCCGTGTATGTGTGTGTGTGTGTGTGTTGTGTATTATGTGTGCGCTTTTTTCTCTTAAATATATCTCTTTTTTAAATTTTGCAGGGCTCTAAGTAGTTTTTGACGCGTTTTACATGGTAAGATTTAATTCCTCCGCCGCAGACTTATGATGCACCATAACGTCCTTCATGTAGAAGTTGGGTACGGTGAAGTTGAAATTGTGGACTGGTCTGTCGAGCGGCCATCCCAATGGACGAGAATCGGTGACAGATGGACCCCATTTGGTTTCAACCTGAGTGACCTGCGTTTCCTCAACTGGGGACACGCTCACGAAGAGTTTAAACGGCATGCCCTCTTTCTTGCCCTTAGGAAGTGCAAGACGGTCGGGTATACCATAATGAGTCGGGGTGTAGGTGAAAACCTCGCCACCCTCGACGGCTTTCACCACTTTCTTGTACAGGACCTCGCTCGGCATCTCGTCCTCAACGGTGTAAACGGACTCGTGGCTGCCGCGCTCAATCTTGTTGGTGCCAGGTTTCACTATAGCAAAATTAATTGCAATGAAAACGTTACTGGTCAAACAACTGTTTAAAATTCAAAACAAATTAATTCTACTATCTATTGTATCAAATAATCTGCAGCGGTAGAAATCCATTGGTTTTCAAATAATTTAAAAATAACACGTCGAAAAATGTGATACTCACGGTCAACAATCCACTGATCCATCTCAACGAAGTTCATATAATTCTCGCTGATGTCCATCTCATGGCCCTGAGAGTTGTATTTTGGTCCAAGAAAGACGCGAACTACTGCTTTGTTGGTTTTCTCGCTGTTGACAGTGATGTGATAGGTGAAAGGTTTGTGATTGAGACGATATTGACGTGCCTTGATCAGCGTTGACTGTGCCTCCTTGTGGCTGCGCACCGATACGGCGTTGCTGATCAATGACTCGAAAGTATCGAAGAAAGTCATGAGCTTGTCAACGGTGACGGATTCAACTGTCACGCCTGGGTAAGCCAGTTCTTCGTGCGTGTAAGACGGCAAGTTGTTCTTATATCTGTAACATTAATTAAAAAATCAAATTAAAAAACTATTCTCGGTACATTTTATTGCATATTGAGATGTCTTGATTGTATAAAGATGTCGTACCTCATCCAGTAGTCGACGATGTTCTTGTACATTTCGTAGAATACGGGATCCCTCATGTTAGTGGAGAAGATCTCGAGAGCGCTAGGTACGACAGTGTGCGTGGTAGTCGGTTTGGGACTCATGGCGAAGACTTTCCTGTAGTGCCAGTCCATATGTCCGTAGTACTTGGGATTGACGGAATCAGCGTTGCCCTGGATCGCGTTGCCGAGATGATTGAGACCATCCTTGGTGGTATAAATGTCGACGTGCTTGCCTTCCGTATCGACGAGATGGCCCTTGTCGATTGCGTTAACGATGCGAGTGTGCAAGTCATTCACAGTCTGTTTTGAAAAATAATTTTACAAATTGTATTTAATTTCGTAATTCTCTTTTCTGCATTAATATTCAATAACTTTTTGATTTTGAAATATATAATGAGCAAATATTTGACCTGAACTTCTTTGTGCAAGTGACGAGGAACCTCGGAATTGGCAGGGCGCTGCGGCATTGGCAGTCCGTTGTAATGTTGCATCGTCGGATAGTAACCGGTGACAACTGGCTTGGTGACATCGACGACGTGCTCAACCATATCCATATCGTTAGACAGTCTTTCTAAGTTGTAGCGAGCAAGCAATGTCTTGTGGACGTACAAGTATTTTTCACCGCGAACAAGTTTAGAGGGCTTGTTGTGCGTAGCAGAGTCCATCCAAGTCGGGAAAGCGTGAGTCAGAGCAAAGTACTGAGAGTTCATACCGGGATCCTCGGTAAAGTAGTTCACTTTATGTTGTTCCGGCACTTCTTCGTTTCTGTTAACGTACCAGCCGCTATAGTTGGAAGGAATGATAAAGTGATCTACGCCACCGACGGTTTTCTTCACTCCTACCGAACCTAAATCAAATGTTTTTGATTAATATTTTGTGCAACCAACTATTTTTGTTTCCAACATTTTTCTGTTGATTTTTAAAGCGCGAGTTGATAAAAATTTAATTTGGTTGTTAAAACTTTTTCTTTATTATAAAAAGAAAATAAAGAATTTTCTTTGCTAGCCAGAAATATTTTTAAAGATATAATAAATTCGTTCTCTCTTTCTCTCTCTCTCTTTCAATTTCTATTTAAAACTTTAGTTTAAAAATTGAAGTAACTCCGAGATGAATTGACTAACCTGTGTCACCCATTGCGACGTGGTAAGCCTTATGTAAAACTTCGTCGTTAAAGAAGTAATGCGGGTTGACTTCGTACATTGGCGGCACATGGATATGTGCGGTGTCCGATCTTAGCGGGACAACGATACTCATTACGTAAATGTACATCTGTTCGTTTACGTTAAAGCGAAACCACACGGCAGTGTTGTAGAAGGTGTCGAAGTCCTTGGCGGAAAGGAGAACGCGGAACAAGCACATCGCTTCATCCCGATGTTGAGGATACATCGCGGAAAACACTTCACCTCGTGGGAGCATTCCATGTTCCCATCGCCGTAAAAACTCAGTTACTGCGGCCTAGAACGACGAAATAAACGTAAAAAATTAATTAAAAGTTACATCAAAATATCATAGCATTCGCGCAAGTTATGCAATTCTTTTAAGAAGAAATGTACAGTTTATTGAAAACAATTGAAACAAATTTTTCAGAAGCTTAAAAATTCTTCCTTGTAATTTTTGTACATCACGTTATTGTTTTTCATTCTTTTCAAGTCAAAAAAAATTATGACTTTTTGTTTATATTGCTTTAATCAAATAAGAGTCTATCTTATACCTGATCGTCGAAAGAAGTGATGCTGTTTTCGAGGTTGAAGGATCGCGCTTTCTGATAGAGTTCCGGATGGTAGACGGTTGGTTGATCGACGTGCCAGAAGAGCTCGTAGATGCCTTTCTGTTTGATCAAATATGGTTTGTCGGCTGTGCGGGTAGGCACGTGTGTGGCGTGAGCCAGGCACGCCGCCGTCAAGAACAACGCAATCGCTTTCATCCTCGTGCTTGTTTCGCGGAAGGATCGGATGAGACGGCTCGCGAACTGCTTTATATACCTTGGCTTCAGCGATACGAAAAGTTCGGGGGTCCAAGATTAGAAAACCGATGAAGTAACCGTCGCACCGATAATAACCAATATCACCCTTGTTTGTGTAATAAATTATCTGCACGTGTAATCGTTAACCCTTTGACACGCTAATCCGAGATTCGTATTCGACGCTTCGCGTTACTTACCTCGTCTGAAAAAAACAGTTTGCTTTTCTAAATGTGTCTGTTTGTCCAAGTATATGTCGCAACAGGTCGAAATACATGGACTTTCTTCGCGCAAATTTCAATAATAAGTCTCGCCAAGATCGGAACAATTAGAATTAATTAAGACATTAATTAGAAAAATATACCGATTGTTATCTTGATTGATAACAGAGGTTTTCAAATTTGTTCAAATGATTTTTTTATTGAATTACATCATTTTTTTGAATAAAATAATATATTTATATTTATATAGTATATATATTTATAAAATTATATTAAAAAGTATAATATAAAAATATAATATTGTTATGTAATATTGTAAAACTTTTGAGTACAGAATTTTATTTTAGATATTATAAATTGAAAAACTCATATAAATGTAATAACAAAAGTTTTTATAAACAGATATAAATATAAATTTTTACATTTTTATACATTTAACATTTTTATTGACTCATATACATTTGTAAGCACACATATATTTGCATTATTAATCTATAAATGCATATCACTTTAATTGCTGGCAGACTGCTCGTATGATACGATAACCAATATACTCACACCAGTTATTTTTTGCGATTAACTGTTTGTACATGGCTCAATTATTTTTTTTCCTCGATACGATTTTATATTTTTTCTTTTCTCTCGATAAGAAAATACAAATATCATTCGGCAGTTATGTAACGTGTTATTTATGAAAGTTAGAGTTTCTGATTAAATGACGAAAAAACAACTAATCATTTATTTAAAAATGGTGTAATAAGATTACACTTTGTCTGTACAGAATAAACCAAAAGTTTTGGCTAACAGTAAAACAGAAGCAGATCACGAGCAATTTTATATAAAACAATAACGTTTAAAGCAATAATAGAATTTTTATATGTTTGAGGACAATATTAGTCTGCATTTACTTCAACAAGAACACATTTTTAACGTAAATTTTATTAAAAATTTGTAAAATAAAGTTACATAAATACAGAGATAAAGAAGAGTTATTCGTCATTATTGCTACGTGTAACAAACAAGTTTAGAAATTATATAAAAAAAGATTTTTTAAAACCAAAGAAATAAAACACGATAGTGTAAAAGTAGTAGTAGTGTAAAAGTTTACATATATATCGTCACTAAATTTTAACTAAATTTTAACTAACTCTCCTCAACTATATTTTGTTACGGTGTAATTTATTTATAAATGTTAAGCGCGAATTTGTGTCACATATAATTTTTTAAAATACGTGTATATTTAAATTATTGCACTATACGTGTGCGCTTATAAGTTTAAACTTTTTTATAATAATTTTAAAGTTAATAGAAAGTAAAGTCTATAAAGAGCCATCGCGGGATGTTGTGCGTGAAAATATGACTGTGCATATATATATATATACAACAGACGTACTCACATTTTTCATGTGAGTTTTTTAATTGAAATTTCAATTCTATAAATTCATATAGGATGCTAGATTTGCATCACTTATACGAATGACCCCGAATACCCCCCTAACTAATTTTTAAAATATTGCGAAAAAATACTCCTCAGCCAGGAGTTATTTTTTCGCAATATTTTAAAAATTAGTTAGGGGGGTATTCGGGGTCATTCGTATAAGTGATGCAAATCTAGCATCCTATATGAATTTATAGAATTGAAATTTCAATTAAAAAACTCACATGAAAAATGTGAGTACGTCTGTTGTATATATATATATATGCACAGTCATATTTTCACGCACAACATCCCGCGATGGCTCTTTATAGACTTTACTTTCTATTAACTTTAAAATGGATTTTACAGAGCCCGAGATGATTCTCAATTATTCACTTTAAATAATTTTAAACTTTTTTTATAGAACGATATTCGGTTCTTTATAGTCGTTTAATTAAGTATGCTTCTAGATAAGAAATGAGGCAACCGCTCTTCGGCCTGTTCTTCGGTCATTTTTTTTTCCTGTTTCTTGTCTTCTATCTTCACCGAAACTACATCAAAAACTTATTAGATTTAATTACTATACTTTCTCTTTTGTTGCAATTATAAATGTTAATAATAGTAACTGGGCTTCTGTCAGTAAACGATAAAGATAAAAAGAAAAGACAACTGTTGGTTTGATAGAGCTTTATTTTAGAAAATTTATTTTGTTAGCAATTTATAAGCAAATTGTAGTCAATTTATGCGATTAATATAAGAATGTTAGAACGCTGTTCAATGTCGTGCGTTACAAGAACTTTTTTGTCTTTTTTAAGAACATATTTTTTGAATTAAAAAAAGCATAAATTTTATATAATAATAAGGAAATAAGGTTCGGGGAAATCATTGATCTGCACATGAGCGTAATTTTTCAGCATTCTTTATTGAAAAAAGAGAATATGAATTATCTGTGCACAGATTTTCAGGTAATAATTTACGCTAAACTTTCAATAATCTACGGAAGTTTGCGTAAGTCAAGCAGGATAACTTAAAAGTTCGCTTTCTCGGATTCCGTCGTGTGATAAATGTATACGTCTTTCATCATCATATTTGGCATCGAGGATTTCCACATATACATCGGTCTGTCGAACGGGAAGCCGAACGGTTTTCCGTCCAGCATCATTTTGCCGAAGATCGGCAGTTCCACGTACGACATCTTCGTTTCATCGAGCGGGCTCAGATAGAAGAACATCTTAAACCGCATGCCCTCGGGTTTGCCTTTCGGCAGTGTCAGACGCTCGGGGTAATTGAAGATCTTCTCGTAATACGTAAACGGCTCGTTGCCACTTATAGCCTTCTCCAACTTCGTCCAGAACATATCGCTGGACATCATGTCAGGCATCGTGTAGGCGGAGTCGGAGCTGCGGCGTTCGATCGTGTTCGAACCTTGTTTCACTGAAAAAAGCAGAAATTTTTAAGACAAAATATTTTAGTTATTTATTATGTAAGTTGAAAAAAACGTAAGAGAGAAAAAGAAAGAAGATATTTATTTTAAAAAGAAACTACTTACGTGTTACGATGAATTTGTCCATCTCCACGAAAAATTTGCTATAATCGCGAAGATACTGCATGTCGTTGATGTTGTCGTCATCAAACGAGGGTCCGAGGAAGATCTTGAGCATGGCTTTGGTCTCCTTGTCGCTGTTGATTTTGAAGCGGTAGGTGAACGGTTTGTAGTTGAGACAGAAACGGCGAGCCTTCACGCGCAGCTTCATTCCGTCCTTGAAGTTCTCTACAGAGATAGCGTTGTTGATGAACGTGTCGTAGTTGTCGAAGTAGGTGACCAACTTGTCCATATTCACGGACTCAAATTTGATGCCAGGGAAGATAAGCTCGTTCTGGTTGTAGTACGGCATGTATTTCTTATATCTGCGAGAAATGACGAGAATGAATTTGGTGATCATCTTCATATGACTTCATTCGAGCGAGGCGAAAAGAGAGATACGCACCTGAGGAAAAACATCTTGAATATTCTCTTTAACATACGGTAGAATCCTGGATCTCTCATGCTGGTGCTGTAGCTCTGAAGCGCGCTGGGTATCATCTTGTTCTTGTCCTTGTAATCGAAGTTAAAACCGAGGATGTTCCGGGCGAGAGCGTCGTAATTTCCGTAGAAGCGTGGGTTGCACGAGTCCATGTTGCCTTCGATCAGGTTCGCGAGGATGTTCAAACCTTCGGGTGTGTAGATGTTGACCTGTTTGCCGTTTTTGTCGTACACGTAGCCGAGATCGATGGCGTTCATGAGGCGCATCTCTAAAGCTTCAATTTCCTGCAAAAATAATTTAAGTTGGAGAATATATAGAGAATTTCACACACAGTGCGAAACAATATCAGAGGACAAATGATCGTGCCTTCAGATATTTGTATTTGTAAAACGGTATATTTTCGTAGCGAGAACGCTGAGGCATCAGAATTCCGTTGTTGTACATCAGAGTCGAGTAGTAGCCAGGATAGAATGGTTTGTTCCAGTCGAAGTCCTCGATGTTGCTCAGATCGTTGGATCTACGTTCCAAATAGTAGCGATTCAACAACTGCTTGTGCTGGAAATAATAGAAATAACCGCGGAAATCCTTCGGCATGTCGAGATCCTTGATGTCCTTTATGTCGAGCCAGAACGGCATCACTTCGCGAAGATAGTAGTAGTAGGCGTTCAAACTGGGATCCTCCATCCAGTAGTCCAGTTTGTATTCGTCATCGAAATAGGGTCTTGCCATGTTTCCGGAATAGTTGGCATAGATCATGTAGCTGTCCACGTTGTCAATATTGGCAGAGCCGAGACCTATAATTGTGTAAAAGGAATAGACATCGTCATCAATTCTTTTAGTTTAATCGCTTTGTCTCGACATTAGAATGCGATGTGATATTTACCACGAGTCATCTTGATGTCGTGGGACTGCTGAATGACATCACTATCAAAGAACAGATTGGGATAGATCTCGTAAGGAGCCGGCAGTCTCATATACTTGCAGTCAGGTCGGTAGAAGACAGCGGCGGTGAATGCTGATGTGAAAATGCCGTCGTTCATGTAAAGGCGCGCCCAAGCAGCGGTCTTGTAGAAAGTCTGGAAGTCTTTGGCGCAGTAAAAGAGCTTGAAGAGAATCTTCATCTCTTCACGTTGTTCCTCGTAGTATGGCGAGTAGATGGCATTGCGATTGAGCATGCCTTGTTTATACAAGTACAAAAACTCCTGTACGATAGACTGTGAAAAATAGAAATACAGAGAGTAATAAATGTGTATGTACATGAGAATGATGTATATGTGTGTGTGTCCAAATTTGAACAACACAGAAAGACATTTAAGTCATGTATTTCAACAAAGTTGAAATCTTTGAAATGTCTGATTTGTTGTCTTTTGAAAGTTAGAAGAATTTTGTTTTAAACTAGTTTAAGCACCTTGTCAGTGTACAGGTCGATGTTGGTCTCGATGTCATAGTTGCGGCCTACATCGTAGAATTCAGCGTCGGTGAGAGTGTTTTGCTTCACAAAAAATAGCAGTTCGTAGATCTTCTTCTGTTTGTGAAGGAAGTCCATGTCGGCTGTCTTACCGCTGGTCTTTGGTGATGCTCCCATGCATAGCGCAGCTAGCGCTAGCAATAACAGTGCCTTCAGCATTGTATTTGATCCTCGACGCGTCTCTCTCAGTCCGAACAAGAATTACCTCCACAGCACAGGAGGCTAATAGTCGACTACTGGACCATTGCCTGTTTTTATATGATGTGATTTCGCCCTAATCAGGTGACCTTAACTCACTCGACCTGTCTGTTTCGTTTGCTCATTATCTCTTATGTATTACATATTTACTCCCTCCGTCTATCCTTGGTAATACAAAATAACTGAGCAGAAGCAGAAAACAATATAATATAATTGATGTAAAATTTCTTAAATAAGTGATAAAGCAAAACACTTAATTAGCACTGAAGTTTGGACAATAAGTTGAGAAAGCTTTAAAAATTAACTTTATTTAAAACAAAATATAAATTATTGCAGTTTTATTCGTAAACTAATTTCGATACTGATTACCATTGTCGTCATACGTGTGTCGATATGTACTCTTGCAAATAACACAGCTGATACTAACCATGTATGATTGCAAAACTTTTGAAGAAACACTTTTAAATAGTTCCTATAAGTCACACATTGTGACTCCAACACATTACATATTATTTTATATCGCTCAGGATCTAGTCAAGATTATTAAAAGTAATAGAAATAGATTTATCTTGTTACATATGAATAAACGTAACAAGAATAATTTTCGAAAAATATTGCTCGAGCTTGTAATTGCTTGCGATAAAAAAAAGATATCTTACTCAGATCATTAGAATTTTTTTTCTTCAATATCTCCAATAAAAAAATCTCAGAACTTATATTGTAACTCTGTAGAATTTTATGATAATGCACACAAATTACAGACAAGAAAAACATCATAACACAAGTTTAAAAATTATATAACAGTGTAGAAATGATATAACAGTAAAAAATTATATAAGTGTGTGAAATTATATAACAGTGTAGAATTGATTACAAATCTTGCACACATTTCTTGTATATTCTTTATCTTTACATTAATCATTACGTTAATATTGTTTTTGCTTTGCGTTGATCGACAGCAATAATTATACGGTTCTGTGTATTTATAAGGCTCTGTACTTTTTATCGTTGCATCGTAATGATCATATCGTTCACTTCTTTCTGTTTCTAGATAAAAATATATAAGAACACGTTTGTCAGAAAAATATTTATGAAATCTTATAACAACTTGGCTGAGATCGTGCTGTTCAGTAGTAAATCAATTAGTAACTCATTAAATCAATTAAAATTGTTTATTAATTAATATCAAGTATATATAAAATAAGCAAGTATAAAATAAAATATTAAACTTATTGTAATACTTAATGGAAGGTGGAAAATAACCGTGGAAAATAAATGTGCGGGGAGAAGTATGTTGTAATGTACATATTCTTGGATTTGATGACACGCGCCAATTTATCAAGTGAATTGCCGCGTCTCTCAAAGTTCATCAAAGTTTATCTTTCGACACGATTCGATAATTGTAAAATGATTTAAAAATTTCAAATAACAGAGACTTACGATAACTAACACGCAATCCCGATATATCGGTCGACTTGCAAAGCAAAGGCATAAAAAATATTGATATAACAACTAATGTGAAGACCAAATGTACAAGATTGAATATCTGTTATATTTTTTTAGTTAATTCTAAACTACTACTATTTTTAAACTTGTACAGTATTGTGTTATAACAATGTGTGTGCGAATAAATGTAAACGGAAAAATATCTATATACTTGTATTTTTCCATCGTATAGAGCGCGCACTTGCGCGTCGCGAAAAGTAATTTTTTAAAACGTTTAAATTCCAATTAATCTTATTTTAAGCAAGATCTTATTTTTTTAGTTTCAAGAATAAAAAAGCTTGTTAGATATCTATCAAAACAAATACAAACAGTTAAAGTACTTTTGTTATCTGATTTATTTAATGAGGTATTTCTTATAACATATTTTATTGTGCAAATACTTTACTTAAATAAAAAGCCAATTTGTTAAAAGTAAAAACACAATATATAAGACACGTTCAACACAAGGTAAATTTAACACAAGTTAATATTTCCTACTTTCTCAATACTGAAATATAAAATTAAAGAAACGTTTGTTTTTTTTTATAGTTTATATAACAATTACACACAAATTAAAATCGGTTGGTTTTCTTATTTTTCTAAGTGTTTTTATTATATGTGTTTATTTAACATGTAAATTTACTTTTTTAATATGTTAAGAGAATGATTTGTAGTTCTTTTCTCATATATTTCATTATCAAAAATTTAGTAAAAAGTATGTAAAACCTGTGCATTCTCGACGGAAACTATTAAACATATTGTGCGTATGCAGCTAAATTTTTTTAAAATTAACGTTACGTTTTATCGTTACGTTTTAATTAAGGTTTTGCGAATTTTACATATATTTTGATAAAAATGTTGTACACGAAAATAAAAAATGAAGTAATCTCATATTATTTTTCACATTACTTTTAAATAGTCTATTAATACATATGATTGATCTCGGCGCACTGACATATGAACAGTATACAAAACACTTTTTTATTACAATTATATCAATAGAAAAGTATATATATTAATATACAGTACTCTTGGAAAATTGAATGAACATAAAAATAAATCTTGTTACAAACAAGAGAAGTTATGGCTATTTGAGTAAAACGCGTTTGTGATTTTTCTTCATTTCATGTGAATGAGCGTAAAGGTCTTGAGAAGAAAAAAATATGAATTTATATAACATCTTTTTATTACACGTATCAATCAAATTAGTTAAAAAAACTAACTTGATTGAATTAACTGTGTATAGAGTCATTATCATCGGTATCGTTAGCGTCTTCGGATTTTTCGGACGCGATACTTTTGATATCTTCATCATCTTGCTCATCTTGATCCGACATTTCTTCCCAATTGTCATCCGACTCACTACTTAAATCGTCTTCATTTTTATCAGCACCATCGTCCGACGAATCTGTTAAAATTAAACGTAGTTTAAAATCAGAAATATAAACTACTTATTTTTGAATACTTCCTGATAAATTGTATACAAACCTGGATCTTGATAAACGTATAAACTCTCTTTAGTTATATCCTTATTTTCCTGATTGGCTTGAGATATTTGACCAGTTATGAGAGAGATTCGGCCTTTTAATCTTTGTACAGCTGTCAGAAGCATCAATTTCGCATCAATAAAACTTAGAATAGGACTAAGTATCTCTGCGATATCTGGTCGTGACATCAAGTGAGCCGCATGAGTCATAATTAAAGATTGCAACCACATCGTCGCTATTTTACTCCTAAACATGAATAATTTTATTAAAAAAAAAAAAAAATGAACGCAATATTTACAATAAAAGTTTTACATAAACGTAAGATAGTTAACACAAAATAAATAAAAATATAATATGATATAATTACGCGTATGTTTTGCCTTGCAACATAATGGTTAATTCTTTGAGTAAAGGCGTTATTGCTTGTACTGGTAATTTTGCGATGGTGTTGCGAATTACAGTTTCATTTTTTGTAAACAACACAATTTGTAAAATATTTTTATCTTTGCTGTTCAACGCTTGCATCAACAGCTGAGCCATATTTGCTCCTTTTGATGGTGATTTTCCTGGCGTACTTGCGTCCGCGTTCAAACCAAGATTTTCTAATCTATCTTTTAAAAGCAATTGAGAACCCGTTCTATTTCTTTTTGACGCTGGTGAAACTCCCATTCCTGCAAAACAGTATTGTTTTTTATATTTGGATTTTTTTAATGTGTTGTCGTTTATTAAAAAAAAAAAACAAAAACATTTATACAACAAAGAATTACCTGGAGCGAGATATTCGACATCTCCTTCTATAGCTGTAGATTTCATTTTAGCAACCGTTTCTTCTTTTCTTTCTTTCAATTTTTTTCCATCTAATTTCTCTGATCTGATTAAACATTGTATCTTATCAGAAAAATCGGGCACAACTTTTTCAATTGTCAAGTTCAAGTAACTACCATATGCCAACCATAACTTTTCATCCTCAGTTACATGACCTGATAAAATAGGAATTTGTTGAACTGTCTCCTTCTGATTAGTATCTGCTGCAATAGCAACGGTTAAAGATGGTTTTAATGGTTTTGAATGGCCATTTGGTATATATTTGAAGAAGTGTGCTTGCCCCGAGCGAATAGTAGTCAGTACAACAATTTGTGATTCTTCCATAGCAACTGTTGAAACTGATGTTGCCTCGTCTTGCATAGCTAATGTTGTTATTGCTACCTTATCATTTTTACTCTAAAATAAAAAAATAAATTTGATTTGAAAAATCTTGTTACACATTTTAATATTTTATATATAAGCAATGACATCTTATTATTGAGAAAGAAGATAGACTGATATACCTTGTCTAATGCCCAAACAGAAAGATAACTATCTGCACTAGCACCACTGATTAGATAATTAGTTGTGTCATTTATTTTTACAGATTGAAGAAAAGTGACTTGATTGGCATGGCCGGTAAATGTGCGAATTACTTGTTTACTCTCTAAATCCCACCATTTGATTAATTTTTCTGCAGATAATAAGGAATTTCCATTTTCTACAATTGCCAAGGCTGTAACTTTTGCTTTGCCTGATTTCCATTTACATTTGATTCCGTTCTCTTGAAGATTCCACTCTATTATGTGATGATCATCAGCTGCTGTAACCAATCCACTGGATGCAGACCAAGCCATAGCAGTAATGGTACATGTGTGACCATTCTCTAATGTAGCACCAACAGATGCAGTTGCTACATCATATAGTGTGATTTTTCCATTTATTGAACCCATCACAACTACATGTTTGTGATTGTTTTCCTCTGAGACTGATTTTCTTCTGCGTTTCTTTCTCAGCAAATGCTTTAAAAAATAGAAAAGACACTTGTATAATTATAAAATGTTTAAATAAATATAGATCTAAAATAATTTTACTCTTTTTTTTTTAAATATACCATATCTATCAACTTACTATAAAGTAATTATTTCTATTAGCGATTACAAAGAATTTCTATAAAAATATATCGATCACCCCGCATTCAACATAACCTTCATTTTATAGTAAAAAAAAAAATCTAAAAAAAAAAAAAAATTCGAATAGACCAGATCGTTCGTGCGAATAAAAAATGAAAATTGTCAAAGACTCGCTGTTTAAATCATACGTAGCGAGTGTGGAAACGGGGCAAAGACCGAGAAATAGGTTTCCGGCAATTTTCGCGGTGATTTGAGAGCACATGGTGCATTTACCGAAGCATTGCTCGCCGATTGCGCGCACATGGATATCCATTGTATAACGCTGCAAGGTGACGACAAGTGCCGGTTGGGTGTGTATTCCTGTTTCAATCGACCGGTCGCGGTATCCCAAATCTTCAATTTGCCATCATTACCGCACAACGCAAAATATTGACCGCCCTGAGAGAAAGCGGAGAATCCGGGGCTCGCCATGTTTCTTAAATAAAGAAAAATTTAGGTTAGAAATTGGCACAGAGTAATCTCACTATACTTGAAGAAAGAGAACTGAGATATATATACATACTGTTCAAAGATGAACGCGCATGTGCAAACATAGAGACTGGGACGGGACCAGAGAGAAGACTCAGAGAGCAGCGACGGCGTCAATTTAGGGCTGCGTTTCGATATATTCAATAATTTGCCAATACCTAACAATCTCAAAAATTCTCATCTCAAATTGAACGCGGTGTACACTGCGCGGTCGTGACTGCTCTCTCTGTGATTGTGATAGTCATTGCCGGAATTACTACGGGCTGCGGTGAGACTTCCCGAGAGAGAGAGAGAGAGAGAGAGAGGTCTTCACAGTCTCACTTGGTCTTATCTGTTTTATTCTCTCATATTTAGTTGGTGGCGTATGATTATTTTCGTTAAACTTCCTCGATACTTGGTAGTATAATGGTTAGTATCTTCGTCTCGTAAACTTTTTATACCTGTAATTAATCAGACTTGTACATTATCGTGTAGTATTTGGTATATCGGTAAGTTTTTTTCTGACAATTTTCATATGTACAAAATATTGTTATATACGTTTTGTTGGAAATTATTTATCTGTGATTTTATTCGATTGTTTATTTGATTGTTTATATCGCATATATGTGTATATACATAACTGAGTAAACTATTAAGTTAATTACTTTTGCGATTAATCTTTTATAAATTGAAGAATGAATATTTTGACGATCTGTTGTGTAAAAAATCAAACCATCGTCGGTAAACTGCAAGTTGCGCTTCTTCACCGTTTCTAGCGCAATCTGACGACGCGCGTCGGCGTACGTTGTTTGATCGGTCGAGCGCGCGCTAGCATGATAGTATAGCTTCCTCTCCGCTACAGTGTTTTCGAGGCCCAGGTAAGAACATTGTCGTAGAGATCGGCGTTTCGCGGTCCCCACATCGTCCGGTGTCGTGTGTGCAGTTGCAGCCCTTCTTTTTTCCCCCCTAAAAGTGCCTCCGAACGTGTGAGTGTATGTGAAAAAAAAATTAGTGCTCGCTCTCGAAACAAAACACTTTACCCCCGCCGATATATATCCAAGCACACACCTTGTTCTCTTTTTCTCTCCGATTCCTCCCCGCGCTGTCTCCGTGTTTCTCTCCCCGAGGACCGATCATCATCGCTCGTGACGGAAAAGTTCGAGGTAAACTTCCTCCTGGGAATGTTGAAGGACTCGCTTGTCGTTCGAGCATCCTGCCAAGAGGTGGGTAAGTTTGGTTAATGATCTCTTCCCATATTACGCGCGGCAAAACGGGGTGTTCGCGAGGGTGTTGCTTGTATGCGGATACGGCGGCGTCCCCCGGACGCGTCAAAAGAACCGTGTCAGAGCGGCCTTTCGTTGCAATCGCGTTGTCAAACTACCTTCCAGACATTGGAAGGCAGTGCGGCGAATTCGCGATTGTCGAAAAGAAATATTTGGGGATGATTGATGATTTACGTTAAGATCAAGTTGAAAATCGAAAACGCGTGTATTTATTGATAAATTAACACACACAAGCTAACATTCACAAATTGCTCTAATTTACGGCTTTTGCGGATTATTTAGTTCTCATTATTGTATTTTACAATAGAGATAATGTATTTTACATTATTTAACAATTTTGAAATAATTAAATCAATTTTCTCTTAAGCGAACGAGTCTTGACTTATCATGTTAGAAGGTTTTTTTCATCAAGTCAATCATCTGAATATAGTCATGTTACCGTACCGGGAACATCCGGTTTTAAATTACGGTAATTACAGACATGATTCACAAGAGCTAATCGCTCGTAGCGTAAAGATTCTCTCACTCAGATCTACGGCTGCGTTCGAGGAGCACGCTATCAGCACTATTGCGTCATTCTATTTTTGTTTTACATCTAATGAACAATAAAGATAGAATGATGCAACAGCGCTGATAGCGCGCTCCTCAAACGCAGCCCGTTTTTGTTCACGCTAGTTTTTTTTTTTTTTTTTGTATGCGGTTTTACGCACTTAAAAAAATTCCCGAAACAAAACTTGTTGCTTTTTTTTCCCAGTTTTATTTCAAACAATGTGCGGTTTCTAATGAGCATAAAAATGTTTAAGATACGTTACAGGACAAGGGTGTGTGTACGCTATGTTAATATTTTATATTCGCAACAATGATACAAAATCCTGCAGTGTGATACGAAGAAGAGAAAAAACATGAAGCGTTTTTATTTCTCGACTCTTCCGTTTTCTTCGAATTACTTGCACACGTTAAAAACTATCGCGTTTGGAACAGAAAATTCTCTCACACGGACGTTCGTATTTTCTCTACACCGACGTGAGTTGCACAAGAGGCAAAAACCACAAAAAAAAAAAAAAAAACGAACACAGTTCGATCTCTCCGTTTGAGTCGCAAGTTTGCATCTTGACAGCCGTTCGCGTGACGTGACGTGGTGGCTCTTCGGCGATTTAATGGCGAGGAAGTGGGAATGGTCGAGTGACATCTGCATTGTGTTGGAGCGCGAACGGCGGCGGTGTGCGAATATCGATCCTGAAGTCTCCGCGACCACGAGACCGGCTTGGTTTCGAGGTCATTGGGATTGAGAGCCCGCAATCCTCACTCTCGATCTCGTTATATATCTTTGATTATTACTCTTTCGCGAACTAGTAGCCGCGCTTAAAATTTGTATCCCGAACAACTTCGGTGCTGAATATCAAAAGAAGCTTCTACTTTGCGCGGCAAATATGTCAATTTAAGTTACATAAAACTCTTGAGAAGTTGGGAGGAAATCAAGTTGTTGTCACATGCGAACTCGTATAGATCGTGCAAATTGTTGGAAGTTTGTATGCGTATTAAAGAAGCTTCGAAATTGAAAGTAAGTCTTAACTCTGTTTATAGAGAAACTGATATTATATTGCAAACCAAAATCCATATAATTTGAAACAAACATCAATTTACATTTAAAATTTGTGTATGTAAAAAAAAACAAGACTTTAAACAATTTATTTTACCACTTCGACCACATTACTTATCACATATATTTTTCACAATGCACATTTATCGCTACGTGTCGATAAAGCAGTCACTGATAAAACGTCTGCAGCGTGTATGTGTTCAAAAACAAAAAAAAAACTTTGTACACAAGCGCAAACATATTCTCACGTTAATCTGGATATATATTTAAGAAATTTGTTTTACATTGTATATAAAAAATTTCGTCTCTCTCACGTCTGATGTATTTATTTTCACGTGTATTCTCATAATGAAGGAACTTATTTCCTCACGTTATTTGCGTCACGCTGATTAATAACCTCCCCAGCAGAGACTTATCAGTTGTGACCTCGGATTTGAAAGTAAAAAAGAAGCAGTAAATTCTTATCACACGCGGCTTACGAAAGTCGTATAGACATGAGCTAGTAGACGAACAAGATTTATGCAATGACAAAATTAACTATTTTCTTTATATATTTTGTGTGTAAGTTCACTTGCTCACGTGAACCAATTCAAGCTGAAATCGGAAACTTTTCGAGTTCCTTGAAAATTGATCGATGTAGGAGAGAACAAATGTTTCGATTAAAAAAGAAAGATAAACGTGTTGGACACAACTCTTACACTTATCTCGAGATTTTTTTCAACATTATCTGAATCTGTGAAGTTACGCCACGTTAATGCGACAATTACATAACTAACTTCTTGCGAGGTTTGCAAGTTTTAGTGGAACGTGGTATGCGTGAAGCTTTCCGAAATACTCGCGATATTTGAAACGTTCTAATTTCGCGGTGTCTATTAATTCCTAAACTTATCTTAATAATTAAAACGCGCCAACAACAAAGTTCTCATTCAACTGAGATTAAGATTTTAAATATTATTTTGCGAAGTATGCGTGTATTTCCTAATTGTGTATTTGCAAAACAAGCAATTACGTGTGCATCGCACATATGTATATTGTGCAAGGCGCCACCTCATTTTTCACCATGAACATATTTAAAATATTTCTTAGAGGTTGAGAAAGTGTTCAGAGATACGTTACGAGAAAACAAATATACATAGTAAGGCAAGAACGATTCTCCATAGAGGTCATCTTCAATGTCACTTGAATGTTTTTAACTGTTGCCTTTTCAGTGGGATTTTATTTATAATGCGGTTGACATTTTTGAGATACGATGTTTTTTTTTTTTTTTTTTTACATTTCGTTGATATCCCGGATATTCTCTGCTCGCGTTAGTTTTATTTCCGTCATATCATTAACAGCACAATGTTATCATGTGTGTGACGATATGCGTGTTGAGAAGAGAAGTGGTCAGTGAAAATTTATATTTATAGTGCATCGAGTGCGTGCGCGTCTACTTTGTGCGCGATATGCACATTATTGCATTGAATGTAGGCCGTTGCCTACAACATTTGTCACGTTCATCATCGTCTTGCGAGAATTTCGCTTTTTCTCTTCTCGTCTCAGCCGATGTGGAAATAGTACGCTAGGCGAAACGGGCTAAGGCCAGCAATTCGGATCAGTCGATTCCATAAATAAACGATCGAAATATGTAAATATCGCGCGTAGGTAGTAGACGGGTTACGCTTCAAAAAGAAGTATTTTTAAACTTCGGGTTTTTACATAATTACTTCTTTATAATTTTTTTTTTTAATCAATTTTGATTGCGAGATTTTGTCGTAGGCATTGCATTTGTGTCTTCAACATTACGTTTGTTTGTTGCAAACGCTTGGTGTGTACAATCTTTGGATTGAAATAACGAATTTGCAAAATTACGGACAGTTCATTGAATATTTCTCAATAACGCAACTCTTCGCAATAAATAATAAATCCCGCCACGCCGAAAAATCGATACATGCGCCATTCGATTAGCGAGAGTCTATTGATTACTTAACACATCATACCGCTATTATAGTCCGTCACCAGCGGTGGGATTCGCGTGGACCACACCGCGGCTGGGCTTGTTATATCTAGTCTTCCTGTAACAGTTTTGCGGTCGTTTAAGCAGGTCGGGGACCCTGTGTGGACGGTGACGCAGATCACCTCCTTTTCGTTCCTAACTTGCACCAGTTGCATCGCCGAGCTCCACGCAGTAAGCCGTGTTTGTAATGACGCACCAGTTGAGATCCGAACGGTGATCGAGATAACCGATCTGGGAATAATCGCTTTTTTTTTTTGTTTTTTGCGTATCGCGTGGTGCTGCTTTTTAGTGATTTAGTTGGATGAACGTGACGATTCGGAAATTTGGCGCGCAATATTGTTGAAAAATCTCGGTTTGTTGTTTGATTTTCAACTTTTATTAGATATATATAACTAAAATATATGTAACGAGTTTTTTGCTCTAGCAAAGAACATCGAGTCGAGTTAAAAATGTATAATGTCGATGTGTATCAAGACGTGAGCGTAATCAGACTTTTTGCAGTTATCACCTTCAGGAAGCGTCGCTTATAAATTATATCGTAGATTGTTCTCGATAATAAGTTTCCATTCCATTAAGTCGAGTATTTAACTTGAAAATTCGACGATACAGAGTAACACTCTTGCACGGCAGTAGATTTTATCTGACGATTCTGTGTGATTGATAATGTTGTAACTGATAATTTGTGATTATTCAGACTTGACAAGACAAAGGGGAAGACTAATTGGCTACGAGACTGCTTTGAACATTGCGCGTTTACTCAGTACAGTATTGTATTTTCATCTTGTAACATCACAAATAATGTTATAACACCAAGCAGTTGCTAATAAAAATGAGTTGAATGTTGTACTTTCTCTTTTAAATTTATAAAGAGCTCTAAAAGTTACATAGCAATTTTTTAAATACGTAATTTATCATCAGGTATGTAAAAAACTAGTATTCTCTACATGTGTTGTTGGTATTTACAAGTTATTTGAATCACGCTACATACAATTAATAAATTACATGTCTGAGTTAGTAATATCATGTGACGTATGAGCAAGTGCAAATACGTATATATGTATATATGTGTGTATATATGTATATATATGTATGTGTGTGCGTGAGCGTGAAAATGGGTTTTTATCACAGCGAAATATAGGTATTGTTGCTCGAAAAATGAGTTTGGAAAAGCGATGATCTAATTGCATCTATGTGAAGAGAAAAAAAAATGGCGCAGAAGAAGAAGAAAAAGAACGGGGAACTTGACGAGGTCAGCATAAAGTTTTATTAAATCTTGTAATTGTGTGATTTTTAATCAATGTTGAAGAGCTAACACATGTGTGCATACGTGTGAAATAAAACTAATGTAAAAATTATTAAAAGATGTTATTCTGATAAAATATTAGTGTTATATGTAACATACTCATTTGATTAACATAGTAGAGATGCAAGGCATAAAAATAACATGTTATGAAGCGTTTTCTTAATCAAGTTAATTTTTTTAACAGTAGCTCTTAGAAGTGTTTTTTTTTTAATGTTAATTTGAGTATTAACCAAATAATATAATTTTAATTTCTTTTATTATTTTTTCCAAAAAATAGTAAAATCTCTGTTTTATTTATACATTTGTGAATGTGTATTTTTTTCTGACTTACATAATCATTAAAAAAAAATCAGTGGAACACATACATATATGTATAGTTTGCTTTTCTTTCCCAAGTAACATACGTACTTTTTTTTTTTTTTTAAACAATTACGTTTTTTTACAAAACGATACAAAAAACGACATCAAATACATGTTCTCTCAATAAGTACAATATCAGTTCTCTTGATAAATTATTGCTGTAATATACTCGCGTTACTCCAAGAGACTAAGCAAAATAAATTAAAATTTCAGACAAAAACTTTGGCATTGCTCCACACGACATGTATATATATATACAATATATATATTGTACATATGTATATGTATAGATTATTTTAATAACAAGCAAAATTTTAATTATTTTCCAATCATTCTGACATTCAGAGTCTTTTGACAGCAAAAATTAAGATGGTGTCTCAATGAGACACACATATAGATGTAAGTGATGTAATACAAAGAGAAGGGAAAACATATAGATGAGAAAAAAAAGAAACAATACAGTGAAAGCAGGAGCAACCAGTCAGAGAGAAAGAGAACTAGTGGGAGCAAAACAAGAGACGAAATTAACAAGCACAAGGAGGGGATAGAGATACTCGTCACACTTCTCTGTCGTATCAGCGGCTAACATTCAGTCTCCTCGTGACATTCGCGTGCTTGATCGCGCCGCTCGGGGCCATCGCGGTTTTCTTATATCCGTTTTATTATTTCCCTTACGGAGCACACACACGTGCAGCCTTACACACGCCATTACGTTGAGAAGACACCTGGAGGACAAGTTGTGCGTGGCATTGTGTGCGTGTACGTGTGTGTGTGTGTGTGTGTCTATATGTGTATGTATGCGTGAGCGCGCGCGCGCGCCCGCGCTAACACTTTTTTCACCGTGTTGTAACGTTTCCCGATGTCATCGTCACTGACTGGCCGTCGTTGATAACCGAAGAAACTGGAATTTCTTTAACTTAGCTCAGCAATCATGTCGAGAGTACGTGTATTTGGCGCCGTGTAGAAACACTTCTTTCATCACTAATATATCAACGATAGTAAGCGTAACTCCGAAAGTTTGCAGCTTGGTGTGTAACAATCCCAAATTCAGGGGACATCCAAGTTTTCCTTGAGTCTCGAGTCTTCTCGGAGATAAGATACAGAGACATTAACATATATAAAGGATTTTGTTTTAAAATATTTTTCCAACGACACCTTGGTTGTTGCGAAGCTGTTAATTGCGAAGTACCGCATGCACATCCTTGCAATCGTTATCTCAGTCGTTATCGCTGCAATTATAACGTTCTGTAAATATTTACAATTGTTTTGCACGAGGGTTCTAATTGACCTCCTTTTTTGCATTGAAATTTTCTTACATTAAAAGAAAACAAGCGTAATCATGTTTCTTCTCGCTTTCTCGCGAATTTGCACACATTATACCGTTGCGTACGCCCTTGATTTTGAAACAAGTCGGGAACAAGGTGGAAGTGTGGGAGTACCCTTGAGTATAGGAGAATGACACGGTCGACTTCAATTGCGCGTTCCGTGTTCAGGTTATCACTTTCATTGCATCGCAGAGAACTTGCGCAAATGCTGCTCGCGTAACTCTCCCGCATCAGTCGTATTTTCTGCATCGCAGATTCTTCAGCGAAGATTTTTGCGCGGCCAAAAAATCGCTATGTCATCTATATATGTATCTGTGTACTAGTATATAACACAGTAGCCAGAAGTATTGCGGAAGTATGACACGTGACACGTGCGTACGAGCGCCCAACGAGCTATAAACGAGTCTAGGAGGAACTCTAGAAAGAGAGATTTTTTATTTTAAGAATCTCCTCGCGCTTTTGAAACTATTTTTTTTTGTTCTTATCGCGATCTCGTAATCACGCTGTGAGCGCGCGAGGAGAGGAGTGGTCGCGGCAATCCTCTTATCTGTTAGTTACACACTTGAAGAAAATGTTGAATACATAAATTACAGTTACACATATAAGTTACGTTACGTATACGTATACGTAATTACATAAGTTACATATATACATCTAGAAAAAAAGATAGTTTTTATACAACGAAATATACACATTTAGTCTAAATTTTCTTTTAACGTATTTTTTATTTACTCCTTTTTTCGATTGCATTTGTAACAGAGAGGATCTCTATATTCATCTTCTCATCCGTGCAGTTTCTACAGGCGGATGCTTTAATGGCGTCCGGTGTGATTGCACTCAACGCCAAGCAGTCCTCTTGATAGAGACGTTATCAGTATTGAGACAACATAAGGTTGCATACTTTTGAAAGCGATTAAGATAAGACGGACAATTAAAAAAAAAAGTCGGATCTTTTGTGTACCCGCACAACATGTGTACGGTAAAACGATATATCGTCCGGATGATTTCTTTCAGTTTATCACATTTGTACAATACAACAAATCTGATCTATCTTCTCGTTTGTCGTTCACTACACAATAAACTTTTAATATTTATTGACTGTAAATAAAAACGAGTGATAAAGCGAACGTATACGAGTGTCGTTCATCTTTTGCGTTATGTTTTTCAGGGTTCCGGATACTTAAAACGTGCAAATACTGAACGCCTCCATGAAATTTTCAATCAGGTGAGAAAAGTTTTTGTTCTCCTGAATAAATGACAAAAAAATTAAATAAAGTGAATTTGAATTATCGTTTTTTTTTTTTTTTTTTTTTTTGTGAGAATATTACCCATTATCTTTGAAGATAAGATTGTGATGAAAAGAGAGTCATAATTTTGTTTCTCATAAAATTACAGTATGCGTCTCAGGAGAAAAATGGCGAGAGGTTCATGACCTCATCCGACTTCGTACGTAGTTACCTTGGCCTGTACAGGGATGCCAATTACAATCCCGATTCGGTTAATCTACTTGCTGGTATCGTCGACACTAGCAAAGATGGGTAAGTGTCGCGTGATTCTGCGTAGATAGAAATAAGCGCACACAGATGTTTCTTGATTGACGGTTTGTTTTGTTTTTAGACTCATATCGTTTGCCGAATTTCAAGCATTCGAAGGTCTTCTCTGTGTGCCGGACGCTCTATACAAAACAGCTTTTCAGCTCTTTGATACTAATGGAAATGGAATGGTTGCATTTGGTAAAAAACAATCACCCAGAAATATTGTCGAACGTCTTTAGAATAATATTTATATTGCCTTGTACATTTGTATATATATATATATATTTATATGTGTGTATATTTTGTGATTAATTTAACAGACGAGTTCGTTGAGGTGATGCGGAAAACTGCGCTGCATCAGAGGATGCCTTTTAATATGGACAGTAGTTTTATCAAACTTTACTTTGGGAAAGACAAACAGAGGCTAATTAGTTATGCGGAGTTCAGTCAGTTCTTGCATGTGAGTGTTCTTGCTCTCTCGCGAAGTTCGTGATCGCTCTTGTTATTTTTGTCAAAGAAGCGAGACACGACGTGATAAGAAATACGCGATTATGAAACACGTGATAAACGTCATACGGTTCGGTTTTTATTATTCAATGATTACATTTATCTGATATTTGTAGGACTTTCATGAGGAATATGCAACGGAAGCATTCAAAAAATTCGATAAGGATGGCACAGGCTTTATTTCGGTATTAGATTTTCAAGACATTATGATCAGTATTAAGAGTCATTTGCTCACAAAAGATGTGAAAGATAATCTAATTGCTGTAAGTATTGTATGAATAGAAGTAGGTTTTTTTTTGTGCAACTTAAGAACTGAATATCTTATTGTTTTCATGTTGTTGTATTTACATAGGCAGTTCGTGCCGGTCAGGGTGGGCCAAAAGTCAGTTTTCCTTACTTCATGGCGTTCAATTCTCTTCTAAACAACATGGAACTGATCAAACGTATCTACTTAAATGCAACCAATGGCCATAGATATCAAGAAGTAACCAAAGGTATAAATCGATTTTAAATAAAAACAAATTATAGAGACACGATGAAAACTTCGATACATCTGTCGAGAAGAATAGCCTTCAGCAGTAAGTCAGTAGATGATGTTATTATTTAAGTATAATTTTTTTTTTTTTTTTTTTTTCAGAGGAATTTCTTTATTCTGCACAAATGATGTCTCAGATAACCCCGTTGGAAGTAGACATTCTATTTCATCTTTGTGACTTACTTCATCAAACTGGGTAAGTAAATCTGATTTAAGCTAATTTGTTCTTCTTGTTAGTTGATCAAGGAGAGATGATGTGGAAGTCGTCTTAGCACTTAGAATTACTTACTTCCACGCTCGTCTTGATCAGCAAACATTTAAAAAGAGGTCACGTAATGCTATCGTTGCACCAGCAAAAGCACATCGTCATCATCCAAATGTCAAGTGTTGTGTCGTTCTTGACAATGAAGATGGAGACTGTTCTACTAAGAATCATTTTTAATCGCCTTCTGTATCTCTGCAGTGCTTAAATTACATATTATTTTATCCGATATTTTCCGATAACGATATTGAGGCAAACTAACTTTCTAAGTATGAAAACGTTTGTTTACGTTTTTACGCTGCGTGGATCAGATCTACGGAAGATGACGAGGCAGATTCGCTGGGGTGCGTCTTTGTATTACAGACTATCACGTGCTATATAAATGTCATATATATATGTATCTTAATAACACTTTTGCTTTTACCTACTTTACTCGATTACTATCTTAGGACGATGATATACGTAAATATTTGCACGCTGTGGACACACGCTAACGATTCGATTAATTTATCCTGCGTTTAGACAGATATGATCTAAGGACACATGTGGATCATGTTGGCAGTACTCTATTTAATATCGTTTCAATTATTCCCATCGACGCCAATCCATATTATTTATTTATTTTTTTAACAACTTACCGTTTTTCTACGTGTTTATGCTTTGCGATACTTTTGTCTCGACATTTGTATTGAACTCGCATTTTCTCGTATTTCAGAAAAATTATATACAATGATCTCGTGGCTATTACACCAGAGCAATATTTCAAACAGATTACAAAACGCGTTGCTGAAATTAAAGCAGTGTCGGTAAGTGTAGTAACGGAAGCATCTTCTAAATCAAGACGTCAGTTAATTCTCAAAGACAAAACTTTACAAAAATATTAGATAATTAATTCAGTAAGTATTGTTACTTTACAGAGTCCAGATGAACGTGGTATTATCGTGCAAATGCTTGAAAGTGGATATCGATTTGTGCTTGGTTCTATAGCTGGAGGTACGTGTGTGAAACTTTCTTCTTTCTTCGTTAAAATACTTCAATGTTGTGTTATATTTTAAATTCCAATAATGTGATTTTAGCTGTTGGTGCTACTGCTGTGTATCCTATCGACTTGGTCAAGACCAGAATGCAGAACCAGAGAACTGGATCCTTCATAGGCGAACTGATGTACAAGAACAGCTTTGATTGCTTCAAGAAGGTTGGAATCGAAAAGTCTCGCCGTGTAACACTCTCTGCATTGTTAATCATGAAGCTGGTGTTTTGTGTTTGACAGGTGATACGGCATGAAGGCATTTTCGGCCTTTATCGAGGTTTGATGCCTCAGTTAATGGGGGTAGCCCCTGAAAAGGCTATTAAACTTACAGTTAACGATTTCGTCAGGGACAAATTTATGAACAAAAATGGAAATATACCATTGTACGGGGAAATTATATCTGGCGCTTGCGTAAGTACTTTTTTTTATCTTCATCTTTGTACATACATATATTTTTTAAAACATGTTCAAACTATTTTCAAACTATCACACTTCCTGCGATTAAACAGCAACAGAACTTATGAAATTTCTTTTACAGGCTGGTGGATCACAAGTTATATTCACGAATCCTTTAGAAATCGTTAAAATTCGTCTACAAGTGGCCGGCGAGATTGCGGGTGGATCAAAAGTCAGAGCGTGGACCGTAGTCAAGGAATTAGGTCTTTTTGGGTTGTACAAAGTGAGTAGCGAAGATGATTTCGTTGATATTTATCGTTCATCTTATATATGTATCATTATCTTAGAATTTGTACTCTAAAACGTGGCCAACTGCAATTTCTTTTATAGGGTGCGAGGGCCTGTTTTTTGCGAGACATACCATTTAGCGCAATCTACTTTCCTATGTACTCTCATACAAAGGCTCGATTGGCCGACGAAGGGGGTTACAATACACCGTTGTCTCTCCTCGTTTCCGGTGCGATTGCCGGCGTACCCGCAGCAGCGCTGGTCACTCCTGCGGACGTAATAAAAACGAGATTACAGGTGAGTTTTTTTATTTGGAAAGAAATATTGTTTAATAAATCATAATTCTTTTTATGTAATTCCATAATTTCTAATTTTTCAGGTTGTAGCTAGAGAAGGCCAGACTACATACAATGGACTGTTGGATTGTGCGAAAAAGATTTACAAAGAAGAAGGTCCTAGAGCATTCTGGAAGGGCGCAACAGGTATATCATTTTACTATGCATTTTTAGCACAATTAGTAAATTTCTTCAAACAATTAATATTTTTATTACTTTTGCACGAGACACACTACAAAGTTTTTTTTTTCCAAAATTTACAAACGGTATAATGATATCACACTTCCATATATCGGTAGGATGGCTGTCGCGGGAAAAATAAGTAAGCTACACAAAGAGAGTTATTCTTTTTATATAAAAAAAATAGTTGTAGAAATTCTTGCTCTAGTTATATAGAATTATTTTTATAAAGTTAGATACTTAATAGTTTTTTTTTTCTTAATTTAATGAGAAGTAAAGTCACTTACTTCTGTAAGAAGTAGAAATAAAATGAAATTTTCTTATGGTTACTCTCTCGCGTGTAAAACTGTAAAAATATATTTAATAATATATTCTGCTTTGGTCGATTGCATGCGCGGGGACATGCCCTGCTGCATCTTTCGACCTTGCTTCCTCCCCAATATGACTTGGCGATTTACTTATCAGTAAGTACTTGTTCTCTTCGTCTGTCTTTATTGGTTTACAACCTGTGTTCCTCGTTTTCTCGTTTTCTACAGTCAGCATCCTTATTGTTTGTCTTCGGAATGATGATCGGAATGTGTAACGTATTTCACGACACATCTTTTCATTCATAAATATCCAGCTGTAACTTCGAAAGTGCAGGTCAATAAAAGTGAATTGTTACACAGCATATATTGTTTGAACTTACTACGGAGACGACATTATTTTTATAATATCGTATGATTTTTTCCTCTCTCCCCTTTCCGCACTATTAAATATACAATTTAATAGCGTGTCACGTCAAGTCTTCGACTCTGGATTCTTTATTGACTAGCATTTTCTCAACGTTGGCTAATATTTTTTTTTACAGATATCTCATAATATTAACAGCGCAATAAATAAAAAAATAATAATTGCATTGTAAAATATAAAAAGTGAGCAAGTCTTAAAACCATGTGATTATAATTTGCAGTATAACTATCTTTAACTATCATCAGTCACTTCATAAATGTCCGTTATGTCTTAGTATCTTCGAAAAGAAAATAGGCAGCCATCACATGTCGACATGCTTGTCATCGGAACGTCCTAAATCTTTATTTTGACAAAGAAACATGAAGCTATGGAATATGTGCGTATGTAAATCTAAATACTTATAAATCAAGTTACTTCTGGTTTTTTTGCAGCACGAGTGTTCAGATCATCACCTCAATTTGGTGTCACTCTCTTCACATACGAGTTGCTGCAAAGGCTATTCGTTGTTGATTTTGGAGGATCGTGAGTATAACTTTACATTTTATTAATTTTGAAAAGATTAGGAAACGATTCACAAACAATTCTAATATAATAAAGTCGTGTAATACCAACTTGTAGACTGTTTTTACAAGAAATAAAAGTTTGTGACTTTTTTTTATAAATGCAATCATGTTTGATATATTACAGTCGACCTAGCGGATCGGAGCAGAAGGTGCCTACCACAGGAGTCGCCGATGAAATTCGATCAACGAACCCAGATCACATAGGTGGCTACCAAGTAGCTCTACCCATCTTTACGGGTATAGAAACAAAGTTCGGTCTTTGCCTACCTAGGTTCCAGGCTGTTACCGGGAAGTAACATTAGCACCTGCTAGAAAACAAGCTTTGTAGCAACCCCTGCCATACATAATATAACGGTCGCTGGTTGCCCAATCGACCGCGTGAAGCGAGTAAGGTGTGTGTGAGCTTCACGAACTACAAATTGTGAGTCCGCAAAGCGTTCCATCTTTTCAACAATCGGCTCGGCCATTTCGAGTTGGGTACCGTTGTATAGATATAAGATCCGCGTAAAAAGAAACAATCGTCGTTTGATGCACGATCAACGTGCTGCATATGATATTACAAAGTGTAATCATAAATCATAAATCGAGGAAAGAGAAGTACAAAATCCGTCGTTGCGAGAATGCCCAAAAACGTTCGTGATAGCTGAGTCGATGCAGTCAATTGATACAAAAAAAAAAAAAGAAAAAAAAAAAAGAACCGAAGGTTGAAACTATTTATTTTGATACTATATAAATGTTATATAATTCAAATTAAAAAGATGCCCTCCGCGCGTAATTATTTTACGAAGCGAGAAAGAGAGACATTTATCGACGGTTTGTTGTTACTAACTTGAAACGTTTTTGTCAATACGCGCATAATAGCCAACAGAGAGTGTGTGTATGGGTGCGCGCGCGCGCGTGTGTGTGTTCGCTAAATCACAAACGATTTATACCAACGAACACGATAGAGTGTTGTGTTCTAGCAAAGGTTATAATCCGCGATGGCCCCGACGTGTAACAGATAAATTTCTGTAAACTGTAAAATACCAAGTTAGGCCTTTGTATAACTACATTTGTTTGTCTAAATGCCTAGCTGTGTATTTTGTATAACTGGCGAATAGAAAGTCAGTAAATTCGGTTTATATACTGTTTATATTACATGTTAGTCTAATAATATGTTGACTAATATTAAAAATTAAAAGGTAAACCAATATAATTACTATATATAATAAAGTAAGCCAAAATTATATACTGTACTGTATAATAAAGTAACTACATATTAGTAAATCAATATTATTGGTTTACTAATTGTGTTATCGAATGATATAAAATTAATTTGTTTTGCAACAGAGAACATATCACAAAAGTATATAAATTAAACTCAGCATTTTTAAATGTAATAAACCGAAATACAAGCAATATTCTTTTAATATTTAAGAACACTGAAATAATTGTGCTGCAATACGATCTGAATTAAAACGAACTTACTGACATTCGAACATCAGTTTTACAAATATGCAGATGAATAGAGAGGAGGGTTTAAACGCACACAACTTCGGGAAATCTTTTCGATAATAGCGAAAAATATGAATGTATTATTGTACATATATAAGTGCATTTCTCTTTATTCATCTTCTCTTACTTATGAAAATAGTGTACACACAAACCTCACGCTAATTTTCCGAAGAGTAATTTTGCTGATCGATAAAACAGACAATATATACAATTTTGTTCAATATAATAAATTTCTGGTTGTATATTACCACACACAATTGCAAAGGCACACAGAATTTTTGAGGCAAATTTGGAATATATAATACAACAAAACCAATCATTTGTTTACACTAACGATGAATATGTTTCTTGAATAAATTTTTCTTACGTAAAGCGTTTGCAAATTGTAACATTTTTTGAACAAAGATTTTTTTAAACCCAGTTTTTATTTTTGCATTATTTAACTAGGTACAATTATATATATATATGTATATATATTATATATATGTATATATAATATTGCAAAAGAAGAAGAAGTTTTATTTTATCTATCAACATTGTTTTAATGTATCTATAATTCTCACTCAAAATTATTTTTTAGGCTTATGTAAATTTCAACTCACAACACGATTAATAAAACAGATAAAGCAATTAATATTTAACCTGTTATTTTTCGTTTATTTTTCGATGTGTTTTTTAAAAGAAATCAATAGACTGATCAATGGTTGAGTTATGACTTCACACACAAGAGACCTAGGGTATTTTTTTTTATAATATTTGCATTTGCATATACATGTGTAGGAAGCATAAATTTTTTTTGGAAAAAAGAGATTCTTCCTTTTTCACGTAAAAAAGTTCAGATTATAATTGACATACCGCTCGTAAACAATTTGTCATCTTCAATGGCCCGCTTTACGAATTTAGCAATTTGTAGTTTGAAATCCTAGTCGTACAGTATCTATACATACGACACAGTAATTGTAATTATTTCGAATGATCGTGAAATCACACATACTAACTGCACAAAAATTATAGCTATAAACAAAGTCTTCTCTTTTAATTGCAACTGCCATTTATTTCATTTCTGTATGTGTGTGTATAGTACATATGTATAAAACAATTATCTGAAACATATATTGTATATAAATTATCCGATGATTATATACAACATATTATACAGGTAGTTTATACGTATATACAGATGATATATACATGTTATATACATGAAACGTCTTTTGAAAATAATCGACGTCAAATGGATTAATGCACTCTTTTCTTACCAGTTGCTTTCTCTTTAGTGTTTTTTAATCGAACAGGCATAATGAAAAAAAAAGATTGTATATTGGCGTTCTACCAGATACGAAGAAAAGAAAAACTATGTATATTTGTTATTTATGGTTTTAAATAACAAAGTTTCTTTGTGATTTAAGTGTTGGCGATATGTAAGATCTTTATCGATTACTTATCCTTCGATTTACACAGTTTTACCACACTCGAGACAACACGTTTGTTTCAAGTCTTGCTGACCAAGTTACTCTGCTGTTTTACAAATAAGAAGAACAAAAAAATTCTTATCAAGCAAAACGCGCACTTTAATATTCTCACTGTCGATAAATCTTCTCACCCTATCACGTGTTAAAATTTTGTAACGAAAAAAGCTTTCAGGGTCATGTATATAAAAATAATACAGAGTAAGAAGAAAGAGCAGTGAATCTACGGAATTGCGTAAAAAAACACACAAAAAAAAATGTATTGATAATCCAGGATGTTTATGTCCAACGCATCTATATATTTCCTATATATATTTCACATATTTTAAATATTTCCAGATCGAATGGTCTAAACCGAGTTGCTTTGTTATTTTTTCAAGACATAAATTTAGTCGGATGAGAATGCAAAATGTATAATCAGACTTCAGTGCTAAATCAGAGCAATATTTTTAAAAGGCTGCTATATAAAGAATGAAACAACTTCTTTTTTCACATAAAACCCCCTCGTGTTTCAGCTTTTGTAAACCGTTTTAAACACGTTCAGGTTATATTTTCAAATAGCTTTTCATTCTGTAAAATTAAAAACAAAAAAAAAACAACTGAAATATGTAAATAAGTAGATTTAATTACATATATATGCATATTGCAGAATGAGAAGCTACTTGATAGCTATATTGATGATCGTTGAATGACAAATGAAGTAACTAATAGAAAAGCAAGCAAATAAATATTTTCGTTTGATTTTAACGCCCGTATGCAGAGTCAGTTAAAAATCTCCCGCTGCCGTCCTGTGAATATTCTTTCTTCTTTGTTTATTATTGCGCCGCATATATCGCGAGTATAACTTCGCACACAAGTCCGTCGAGATTTATTTGCCTCCGTGTGTGGAAAATTTATCGCATCGATCAGTATTTATATTAGCACTTTTGATTCTTCATATACATGTGGGCCGTATAATAATATTTTACATAGCTTTATAATTGCGAAGTTTTGCGATGTCTTCAGATTTTATATAGATGATGCTGATGACATTCGCATTCTGGCCGAAATATAAACCCGACCATCCTGTTTATAGACTAAATATATGTACATATGTTGCATATGTGATATAATGTTATATACATATATATACATATACGTTCTAAAATCCGTCGTGGGCATTCGCAGCTCAAATAATTCTTGGGTTTTGTACACGTCACGATATATATCCGTGTCACGGTTTATTCTCGCACTCGCTGTTGTTACTTGTTTATTGGTTTTGTATTATTAATGCCATTATCGCAATTTTTAATATCACTACTGAGATTAAAGTCGTCAAACGTACATATAAAATCAGCTCGCCAACATTATCCAATTATTATTGCAGAAAATTAACTCTCGATTGCAATTATACGATAAATTTTTCACTTCCTGTATTCGCAATTATATATATATATATTGTACCCCATTATATATTTATTGTACTTGTTTAAAGTAAATATGCAAGAGAGTGTTGTTGTTGTTGTTGATCGAATAAGGATTGTTAAGCGGGATATTTGGTATTTGAGTTATTATCATAGAAATTAGTTGAGATAGAAGACAATTTGCTTGAGTTTGCTTTTATCGAATTTGCGTTCTTCTGAAAGTTGGTGAGCTTACGATTATTAATAGCAGGAGACCTAACAGACAGACAATGGCTATCAGATTGCACAAAGCTACGAGCAAATGAAAAAAATTAAATCTATATTTTACGAAATAATACGAACTTTACTTAATTATTATTAATAATTACGACAAAATACACGATAAAAATTAAGCTCGCTTCCGATTCTCATATCCAATGTTCGGCGTCGTAGCCGCGATAATCGTCGGCAGATGCGAATCGTCGGTTTTGTGCGTTGAAACGTTGCCAGCGCTGTCGTTCAGCATTGCCAGATCAGTTCTCTAACTCACTTTTGTTCGTAAATAAACAACAGAGTAAATGCAACACAATTAAATCTTGTTTTTCGGATACGAAGTTCTTATACGTAACAAAACAATTTTGCCGTCTAAATTAATTTCATTGTTTCTGAAGTGTTAACAGAAAATTTATATTGATCTGGCAATATTGTTACACACATCGCCAATGCGGACAGGCATGGATGAAAGAATGTTTTCACGCAATAAAAGATGCGGCGATATACAATAGCCCAATGAGAAATCTATCTATTTAGATTTTCTGAAGGAACCGTTTCTCTTGAACGTTTTCTATAAGACACGAGAGAAAAAGAGAGAGTTTTGCGATCAATCATTGTGCGCGTTTAAATTGTACGTGTGAAACCATTTTGTCTTTCATCCGGTCCAGTTAAATAAGCGACGTTTTCTACACGAAATCTGTGATCATTATCAGATTCTTGACGGAATATCGAAAAACCGTATATATATATATAGTTAAACAATTTTAAACAATTTAAATTCTTATTAAGCAGGTATACAGTCGTAATCTTTGATAAACTTAGATTTACCTCACATTGCGAATTGTAAAGATATACATACTTGTAAAAACAAATCAAAACTTAATTGTGAATAATATCTAAGCTGTTGTGCATATATTTTAAAATAAGAATAAATATATATTATTTAAGAGACATTGCGCATGTTTGATTTCACATCAAGTATAAAAAGTGAATAATAATTTATTCACACTTACATATTATGTATATATATATATGTTTATAAGTTTTTTTTTATAAATTTACGTTATCTCAGCTTTGGAATTTTTGTCAAAGGAATTAATTTAATTGTTTAATACATATTATTTTAATATGTATGAGTTGTTTAAAAAAAATAAGAGAGAAAAACATATCAAGTTAATATTACAATCTTATTATACATCAGAAAATTCTTGATAGGAATATGTATGTATTTTCCATGAAGAGAATGTTGCTTCTTCCTGTTATTTGTAATATTGTTGTTTTTGTTTCCTTGTTGCACGTCATCACGGATATTACTGAAAAATCTATATCCGATGGACGTTATATTCTCGTCGCTATGAATTTTATCATTGTTCTCGGGGCAACTTGCTGGTGGATTTTCAAGACCTGTTGAATCACAAGTAATATTTATTCTCCTTAATTCTTTTGTTAAGATTTTCGTAAATTGAGTTTTTTTATGTAAACTTTTCTTGATTAAAACGTTTATAAAAATTGTTGTTTGTTGCATAAATAACCGTACCGCAAAGATTAGGATATTCGCTTGAGGTTTTCAAGTGGTGATCGCAACTGTGGCTGCCAACAGTGTACGGTGATGTGTCAATTTCGTTGCCGCTTTGCATTAAACAAGCATAATTGTAATTTTCGCATATAATATAGCAACTTTTTTAATTTTTTCATTTTTTTTAGTGCAATTTTCGAAATATTTATGTGTTATTCTTCACTACTTACGTGGGTCCATAATGACAGACGAAGAATTGAAAAACTGTATTATTCGATTTATATTGCGAATATCCGCACCCAACTAAATAAGTGTTTGCCCAAACAAGCTGTGAAATCAAATACAATATACAAACAAACTACGTATACATCTATATGTAAAACTCTATATAACTTTTATTTAAAAAATATATTTTTGTTAATATGGTGAAAACACATATATTGTATTTAATAAAAACACACATTTTCTTCGATATTGAAAACAACGCTTCATTATTTATTGCGTAATTTTATACACGTGTATATGGAGGTTTTTTTTACAAACAGACGGCTTTGTTTTTCTTTTTACTTCACCTGTGTGTAGTGGCCAGCCACCTGTATAATTTCATTGTCAATAGGACCGAATTGGTAGACTTTGTGTTCATCGAACCAGTTGTATATATGCTTGGAAAATTCCAATTTTACGGTATTATTTCTTCTCGACCTTATCAGTCCAATATTTTGTCCGACTTCAAATCTCTCTAACATGGACAAATAAATTTGTAAATAGAATTTTTATTTTATTACATACACACGTGTGCACTGTGTGTTTGTAACCATTTGAACTAAAATTACAATTTTATCGATAAAAAACGATAAAAGAATTATTGATATGATAGAAACATTTATTTAATGATTAAAAAGTAATAATAGATCTGTGTGTGTTTAACTGTTTTATTTCTGTCAAAAGATAAAATAAAATAATGAAAAATGAAGTTCTTTCGCGAAACTTTATTGAGGATTTTCACACAAAATTCAATTTAAAAAATTTCGAATCTTTTCTTAAGGGAAATATCGGAGCAAAATTTAGTCGCGCGTTAAAATATAGATTCAAACTCGCGATGTATAATATCTTTGAGATTTAAAATTTCCGACAAAATGAATATTGTGAATTGAAGAAGATTTATGAGAAGAATAGAAGATTTTGCATTTCATTTTTTGCCTTTATGATGTGTTACTTGCAAACATTTTACCAATAAATTGTTATCTGGCGTTATACGTTCAAACATCGAAGCAGAGAGTATCATAACTCACACGTTATAATAATTATTTTACGCACTTTGGTCTCTGTATTTTACATACCAACTTCTCTTTCTTTGGGATGATTGTGAGCGAATGTGCATTTATTCGCCCAAATCTGTGCACCGGCTGCAAGCTCGGAGTCCCAATACTGAAAGCGTGTATATTTACGTATTACATAATTAAAATAATGTAACATTAGCAAAAATATAGACTTTCAGTTTAATTAATGGTTCTGTGTAGCGTTTTTTAAAATAATTGAAGTGATACTATTTACAGCATTTTATTAAATTTATCTTTTTTTTTAAGAAACTACATATCCTCACACTATTTAAAATTGTTATTACGAGAAAATATAGAATTTTGCAACGGATTTCTAATTTTTTAATCAATTACACTGATAAATACGAAAATCTTCACTTGCATTATCGCATAGGAAACATCGAGGACATCATGTTCAGTTACGTGGACAGAACAAGATTATACTTTATCGCGACGTACCAGTTCGCGCATGTTGGCGGCAGGTGGTTGAGCATTAATTGATCCCTCGGCGATAGACTGACGTATTCTGTTGTGGGTGTCGAGGATGTCGCGTATGACATCGCACGTAATGTCCTCGTTTTCTGGAACACAATAATTAGAAGATGTCAGAATTGCGCGCGAACACACAAGCCCGTATATTAAATACACACTTGTCTGCTTGATGTATTTATTAATATCTGCTTTTCATTTATATATAATTTTATATATTATGCAATTTTTATTATTTTGTTACACGAAAAATAATCAACGAAGGTTGCGCATTTTTTATACCATAATCCGCACACAAAGAGAGAGAGAGAGAGAGAGAGAAAATGAAAACGTTATTAAGTTTTTCTATAAAAGTAAATGCAAGTAATAATACAAGGTACGTTATACTTACTTAATTTTTCCATTTCGTTGCATATCGGCTGCGCGTGTAATTTAAGAATAACAAAACCTACGAAATAAAAATGCACCAGATACGAGAACCTGTACAGCTTGAGTAACCACTTGAAACTTATTCGGGATTTTTTATGGGAAGTACACCGATTTTCGTCACGTAACTCATTAACATGCGACAGAATCATTTTTTTTTTAATTAATTGCGCAATCTATCAAAAGTACGCGCATATGTAAAATATAGATGTGTTAAAAAGTAGTATACATTTTTCTTCTCTTCTCGCACAGACATCATCTCACCAGAAACAATTTTGCTATTCTGCAAGCATAATTTCGTTTTCTACAGGACACTCTCGAGCGTGTCAAGTTTTATCAGCGCGGCGAACGACCGATTTTCGAGCGGTTTATCGAGCGCAAAATCTGTATTGGGTTTTTATCGTCCGCAGCTAAGAGCATCTATGATTGATGCTTCGTCACATTTCGCCTTTGTGGTGTATCTGCAATGGCGTCGACATACACGATATTCCATACACACATTGTATCATGATAGATTATATTTTTTGGCGAATTAATTTTCCGAACACGTCGTGTATTCATAAAATGAAGAATAGGATGTAAATTTGAAGAATAGAATGTAAATGCTAAAATACTGAAAAACGAAAAAAACATTGATTGACGTAAACGAGCTGTGTAATAAGAATAAAACATGCAAACTTAATATCTTACGATACATATGTATACTTGTTTGCACAATTTTGAAAAAAAAACTTGTATGTTAATTAAATATCCCTAACGATTGTAAGTCGATCTCACTCTTGACATTTCGGTGTTTTCATGTGCGAGCGAATCTGCTTGTAATAATATGATAAATAAAATGAGATCATTAAGGTTTTGTCAGTTTATGCTGCATTGAAAATTGTGCAACATTTTATTGACGCACATCTAATTAGCGAATATTATGTTAATATCAATTTGAATATTGTGTTAATATCAATTTGATTTTAACTTCTTCATCACACGGTTCAAAACGCAAAGCAAAATGTTTATCTACACGAAGAATGTTTCCTCGTATGTTTTGTATGTAAACTGAGCAGATTATTTAAAAGAAGAAGAAATGGAATTAGTCTTTGCCACATATTATGCCGCTGCTGTTAATCAACAAGTGGCATTTGCATCGAGGAAAATGGAGCGATATGATATCTCAAAGTGTATTATTTCACGTTCGGCCGACAAACCACAATCGAGTTCGTGACAAATTGAGAGATGTTTGCTTCGGCATATAAAATTAAGCGTGAACGTAGCATAAAACTTTTTAACTTTTAAACTTTTAAACATTTGAAGTTTTGCAACAAAATTTGACAATTAATTATTTTAATTGAAACAATTTATTTCTGTTTTTGCGAAATTTAAAATGTGGGAAACAATGTAATATTATATTTATTTTAAGAAAAGAGAGAGAAAGTAAGAAAATAGAATCTAAATTTTGTGTTTTGTTTTTTTTTATTTAATAACATTAAAATAACAGTACTTAACTCACGAGTAATTTATATATAAGTGTAATGTGTGTCCACACTAGTATAAAAGTTTAAACTTAGAAGTTCTGGTTACGCGAGCACAATAGCGAGTATTTTATGTGATAATTCCCTCTTATTGACTTAATCACTAATTTTTTTATCAACTATAAATAGACTAGATTGAACTATATAGAATAAGTTACGTAAGAGGGATTTTTTAATTTTCATTTCAAACATAATAGCTTCTTAATTATCTTTTACCGACAGTTTTCTGATAAAAAAAAAAAAAGCAATTGTGTTTGCAAAAAACAGCTAATGTCAACATTTTAACACGCCTCTTAAAGTTAGTACGTAATTGCAATGTTATGTAATTTCTCTAACATTTAGAATTATCAAAAGGAAAGAGAAAAATTTAAAAAAATTACTAAACTTACAAATTACTGAGATAAAAGTGATATTTCAATTATGTGTTTTGTTTTTTTTTTTTCTGATTTTAGTAGATATGGTGTATCAATATAATTTTGATTGGTTCTGGGCATCGTTGTTCACGATGTTGCATTGAACAGACATTTATAAGTCGATGAATATTTCGGAGAGCTACATCTTATTATTAAGAATAAATGTGTTTTCTTCTCGAGTCTCAAGTTTCATTTATATCGTCAGGGTTTTCTTTCTGCAATATAAATTTTGCGTAAGGATTTCCAGTTCTATACATACAATAAAGCGCGCAGCAGATAAAGAACAAAAAAGAATTCTTTACTAGATTTCGAACCTGACGGCCTCGAATACCATCTGTATATCAATCTCGCTTCGTTATCCCACATGTGTGTACACACGGCAATAATTATAATACGCCTCATCTCGTCATGTATACAAATTGATATTATGCACAACGAATTGGCTCGTTTCTTAATTAATGAAAACTAGCGGTTACACAATCTATCTACGTATATATCCGCATATATTGCGCATCAAGCAATTGTCCTTTTAGCGCGAGAAGCGCGTGCGATGATAGTGATTACATCTGTCACAACATATCCGAAAAGAGAATAAGACGACGGGAACTGCGATTGTTCGGCGCGATCTTGAGACTCGCGTAGTTCCTTTCTTCTCGTGAATATCCATTTGTGTACTATCCGTATATACAATAGGCTCCCAGATGGTAATAACTGCCGTGGGCTGTAATCACGTAATACTCATTACTAAACAGACACGTGGAGATCCCACTTTGTGCGAGAGAAAGAGAGAGGGAGAAAGAGAGCCAGGAAGAGCGAGGCGCGTGCGAGAAACAAAGTAAGAAATTTATTCAAACGAGAGAGGAGTTTCCGTACAACATTCTCCTCTCTGCTTCTTTCTCGAAAATCAAATTCTAGGCACATACTACACTTACTTAAGTAAAAGTGCACGAGTGAAATGAAATTTCTTGATTGCATACATTTTAATATACGTTTATGTAGTGAAAAAGATCTGAGTGGAACGCACAGAGAAAGAAGGAAAGAGGAAGAGAGACAGAGAGAGAGATATCTCGCTACTTTCTCTTAAAAGTGCAGACTGTAATTAAGAAGTAAAAACATTAAAAAAGATGATACTGCTGAAATCAAGATTTTTTTTTTTTTTCATATCTTTAGAGAAAAGTTGTAAATGTGCGAGAGAGATGAGATTATACGACGTATTATAATATTGATTGCGATACTAACAACATAGTCCGGAGTATCTGTTGCTGTAGGACATTCCGTAATTGCCGCATGCCGGCTGGCCCGACTTGTAAGGTTGAAAACCGAGTATGTTTCCGCTGCAATGAGAGAAAACATCGATTTTTTTTTTTTTTTTATATAATTCTTCCATAATATGAAAACATGAATTTTTCATTATACGATTTCTGAGAAAGAGACTTTCAGTGCCGACATTACGAAGTGTTAAAATTTGAGCGGCGATAAGCTAGCGGACGTAAACGAGACACTTTACTGGCAAAAGTAAGTGTCGAATCTAGCAATAGCGCAAAGAAGTGGGAGGCCGTCTGCTGTGAAGCGTAAAAAGGATCGTGAAATTTGACTTGTTAATCTCCACCGTACGTATTAACAGGTTGGTTATATTTGAAAGGACGCGCAGATGAGAGAGAACTCTCTTACTTATATCATTAATTTCTCGGTTCGAATATAAAAATTAAGCATGTGAATTTTATATAAAATTATTCACGCGCTAAAAAGTTCATAAATTTCAAACTTTGCGAACTCGATAATATTTTCATTTATGTCAAACGTCACGTTAAATAAAAATCAAGTCGAAGTAAAGAAGATCCCGATGTGTTTTGCGCAATCGCAGATATGTGTTGCTTCTCAAGGCCGAAACTTAGGCAAGTTTCCGTAAGCAAAAATCTCTTGTTTTCTCGTTATTTTCTTTTTCATAAGTTCTTCTTTATTGTAACGAAAGAAGCACTCTTTTTCCGATTCAATGTAGAAAATCCGTGCAATAGTCATTCATGCAAAACGGAGTTATATATTCTTTCTAAAAAAAAGAAAGGATTCAAGGACATTTTTATTCGCGATCTTAAAAAGGAAACTGTCTTGAAATTGCGGGTATCTCATGGAAAAGAGTATTTCGTTTTCGCGAGTTTAAAAATCTTGGGTTCTCAATACGCCCTTTCTGGGCGCAATTGCCTTGCAATTTCCATACTCTTCTATTGCAACGAAGCAACGAAAAATATACATACATATATATGTGTATAGAAAAATCTAAAGCAGTATTTTTTCGATTCTTACCTCGGTCCGTAGTTGCATACGTAATTCTTGGTGTAGCCGCGAGCCGGGTCGTAGTAGAACGAATATCCGCATCCAAGCAGGAAAGTGTCGCCCCACACCAACTGGAATTAATTCAGAATGTTTCCCGCTTCTTAAAGACCCGCAAATTGCTCGCGCGCAAGCTTGAAAGAAGCTCACGAGCGGAACCGATTAATACTCTTTGAATACTCTGAATACCCTGTCTCCTCGAGAGCGCAAAATCTTCTCAAGAGCGCAAAATCTCTAAAATGTTAAAGTGTGAAGGAAGAGCCGTTATCTTCACATCTCGAAGAGATCACATTTTGACAATTTTTTTTTTTTTTTTTTTTTTACCTAATTTGAGATCAAATTTCGCTCAATTTGCCGGGACATTTTGAGCAATTGAAATTAACGCAATGTGTTTTTTTCTAGAAATTGTAAGATGTCGCGGGATGCGAACGTGCAACAAGATAGTAGTTTTGAGGTAAAAATATACACAATGGTCGATTTGTGTTATTTTTTTTCTATTCTGTACACGTGCGAGAGTGTGAGCGCGCACGTGTTTTTTTTTTGGTATAATAGTATGATGAATTTTTAATAAAACGAGATTTTTTCGGACGACAACCTTGTCGTTCCGTAAAACCGTTTTTTTTTTTTTTTTTTTTTTTTAGACGGTAATCTCATGAAAATTCATAGAGAATAACGACGAGTTCATAGAATAAGAATTGACTGTTTAAGTTCGGGAACCGCGCGATCGGGTTTTATAAACTGCGAAATATTTTTCGAACTGACCTACGACGAAATTTTTCACGTCACGTGTTTTTATGAACAAAAAATCACACGTTCAAAATTTTCGCTTTTTAGAAAATGGAACACGCTCAAATTTATATCTTCGTGAAATTTTTCGAACATTTACCTGTGTGTAATGTCCCGTGGCTCTGCTATAACCGGAATGATAGTATTGCACCTCGTTGAACCAGTTAGAAATTTGCCGTCTCCAATTCGGTTCGCTATCGTAAGGTCCCGGGGGTCTGGTCGTCCACGAACGAGCGATGTTTTGTCCTACCGCAAATCTACCTGCAAATCGATACCATACTTTCGTTGTCTCTGATTGGTACGCGATAATTATTGCGTTGAGCAAAGTCAAATCACTTGCGATTTCGAAGTTAAACGCGTTCGATTGAGAAAAGTCTGATCAAAACATCACACTTACAAACAAAAAATCAAACATAAAACATATCGCAATTGTGAATCGCAAGTAATGTAAAATAATTCTACGGATTTGATTTTGCCAAAATTATCTTCCAATTTTATTTCTCTCTAATATTTTGCGTAAAAATTCGTAAAGAGAAAACTTTCAAGTTTATCTCGCACAAAAGCTCTTTTCATCGTCTCAAAATTAACGCGTGAATTATTGAAAAGACACGATCGTAACATCATATCGCGAGCATTAGCTTCGTTTTACGTCTGCCTCAACGTATTGATTGCCGTTGAACAGCTCAATTATCCAGTTAATAAATGCACGAGATATATGGCATTTTCAGTATATCCTTCGTGTTTCTCGTGCTATCGTCGATTCGTTTTTAAATGAAAGAAGCTCTAGTTAAACGCTGACGTGTATCAAATATATATAAAATACGCCGGGTAATGGATTCTATCTTTCTGGGAGCGCGTACGCTCTCTCTCTCTTTCTCTCTCTCTCTCTCTTTCTCTCTGTCTCTCTCTCTCGAAAAAAAAATGTTATACGGAATACGTTAATGAAAGAGTAAAAGAGATATATCGGGGTGATTGGAGAGTGCTTTGAAAGCTCAATCAAGCAGCAACTGCCGCGCGTGAGTGCGCGTGAGTTATGAGATGCTCAATAAAATCAACGTAACGCGATTTGTAACTATGGCTACCTGCGATGATAAACGCTGCAATTCGCTCGGTTGTTGTTAAGATTATACTACGAGCGTGTATGAACGTTCATTTATCAAATGTCACACCGCCGTGTGAATAATTCACGTCGTTTATACTTTTATCTTTTAATAACGACGTCGTTATTTAATCAAGAGGAGTTTGTCAACGGTTTGTCTCTTTGCGATGCGTCGAGCAGTTGATAAACAATGATTATTTATTCTTACGCGTGAAAAAAACAAAAACGTGTATATGTGCGTTACAGTAGTTTTTTGTGTAAATTTCTAAACAAACAAAGCGTTCTCGACGAACTTTCCGATACTTACGAACGTTTCTTAAACTGTCATGCGTCTCGGCGCAACGATCCGCCCATCGTTGGGCTATCGCGGCAAGCTCGTCATCCCATATCTGCAACAGAAATTAGTAACTTACACGTCGAGTTAATCGCACGGGCGCGATGCATCCGCGAAATATCACAAAGTTGTAAAACCCACTCTAACTTTGGCTAAGCTGTCGGGCGGCATGCCGGTGTGAATTAGTTATCGCGCTTCGCGAACGTTCTCTTTTAACAAATGGATATAAATATGCAACGAAACAAGAACAATTCTCATTATGCTATACCTGCGTATGCGAAATGCGACGCGAATTCGTTCGCGCGACGCGCGATAAAAAGAGATTACCTGCTAGTTCGACGCGCGAAGATCTTGCCTAAAGGCTTTATTCCCACGTGTGTGTATATATATATATATATATATATATATATGTATAAAACAACTACATCGAGACTACTTGGATTTGCCGAGAAAACTTCGGAGGTGGCAATTTTCTCCTCCTCAGGAAACAAGATGAAACGCGTCAGCTCACCATTTCCATCATATTCGCCGCGCCAGGTTGACCATGTATCTGTCCCAATGCCACTAGTTGCCTCAATCGATTGTGTTCGTCCAGGATAATCTGTTTCTCCTCGCACGATATACCGCCTGATCCTGTAAAACGATACGTGCCTTCAAGTCTTCGCCGCTTCCCGAGAACAAATATATTTGTCTCCTATGGGGTCGCTACACCATGTATCATTACAGAAATATATACATATTGCGATAATAGATACGAGCACTCTCCCGTCTAAGAGACAAAAGGAGAACTGCATGCGGGAAACGATACAGAGATTAATTTTTTAGCAACAACGCGGAAAAACGAGGTTTGCTCAAATAGCAAGAAGAATAGTTGCTGCGTAGCCAGCGAGAAAAATCTGCTAAGCCTGTTGAATTGTTCGTTTTGCCAATAAAACGTTAATGACAAAACAAAAAATTCAGTTCAGCAAATTTTTCTTGCCGGTTGTGTATAATAGCAAAACATTTTTTTTCCGCAAAGAAAAATACGCATCTCGTAAATTGTTTACCGATTTTTTTACTGGAAAAATAATCACGTATATTTATATACACATATATTCCCGCACAATTTTCCAATTGGATTTCACTTTCTCGCCTCTTTTCTTTTCTCTCCGCGTTATTCTTTGTGTTGCAGATTGCAAAGCTTTTCGAAAAACTTTTCCACGGAAGTTGGTTTAGCGACGTTCCTCTTTTGTCTTTCAGTCGGTGTGCATCGAGAACTCCCATTTCGTAAGTTTAACTTCTCATTGGAGCGGAACTGATGGCGCCCCTTTTGTTCACTTTGTTATGTCGTTTCCAGCCGGCGCGCAAACTAGTCATTCCCAACAATCCATAATTAGGTGGAAGCTGCGAAAGTGTCTAAAAGTATCTCAGGTAAAATGTGCGTCTTTGAGATACTCATCAAAGTTTGCGTTTGATGGAAAAGTGAGACATCTGGTGATTAAATGAATCCTATGAAGTTTTTTGTTTCATTCTTTTTTTTTTTTACTACCACAACACAGACGCGCGCTACGCACACGCTTTTATTTTAACGTGTAGTGCAAGTGAACTTAACTTGTCACCGCAATGACAGCTAATATATATGTCTTACAAACAATATAATACACATGATGTACATATGAAAGATGTCAGAAATAACGCATGAAAATCAACTCAAAAAATAAAAGAAAAAGAGGAGAATGGAAAAACAACATGTGACTAAAATCACGTAACAGGGATAAGAGTAAAAAAGAGAATATTATATATATTATATATAATATTCTATATCTATATAATATTATATATATTATTATATTAAATATAATATATAATATTATATTATATATATTCTATTCTATAATATATATAATATTCTATATCTATATAATACACACACACATATACAAATATATACCGTAATCACGTAACCAAAGTCAGTGACTTTGCCGCAATCGCGCGGCCGAGGTCAGTGACCCCCCCGCCAAGGCCGCGCGGCCGAGGTCAATGCCCCGCCAAGGCCGCGCGGCCGAGGTCAGTGACCCCCCCACCAAGGCCGCGCGACCGAGGTCAATGCCCCGCCAAGGCCGCGCGGCCGAGGTCAGTGACCCCGCCAANNNCGCGCGGCCGAGGTCAGTGACATTACTGTAGTATGTATATAATACATATAATACAATATAAAGTATAATATTATAAATATATAATAAATTATATGTATAATATATATTATTTAATGTTATATCTAATATAAATTACAGTCACGTTACTTTAATCACGTGTTGTTTTTCTACTCTTTCCTGTCAAGTTACTTTACTTTAGTCAAGTTTTTAATTTTTTCCATTTATACAACTGTCAAAATCGCTTTTCTGTCATTACTTACTCTTTCCGATCTTACCGATTCGATTCGATTTGACTCGACTCGATCAACGCGCACTTCGCGGTACAATGGATTTTTCTATATAAGAAGACACGATACACATTTATGTAAAAAGCATTATTTCTCATTTTCACGTCAAACGTAACATTTTTAAATGGAAAATAAACAAGTTTTGTTTTTAATTAAATTAATTACCTGTTTGTGTCACGTTGTACTATTTTATTATTTGTTTGTTATTTTAAAGATACCTTTATGTGTACATAATATTTCATGTGTAAAAATGCAACTAAATAATATATTTTATGTTTATTAAAATAGATTGCATATACCCTCTTTGTTTCTGTCTTTCATGCACGAAGTGTCTTCATTTGCATAAAAAAGGTACTTTCGTGTAAAGTAGAACTCTGCGTATAAATTACATAATTTTGGTGTCTGAGAAATTTACATATTAATTAAATCAAATTTCTTCTCTCTGTACGAGAATAAACTTCTTTATGATAACAGAGACGTTGAGACAAAAAAAATCTATCTGACTTTTTATTCTTTGAACAATTGATAATATCGAGATAAATATATATATATATATTTTTTTTTTTACATATATCTCTCGGGAATTAAACGCGCAAATCATATCAAAAAAATTTATGTTTCTTCTTTACGAAATATATTTAGTCGGGAGATACGGGAGTTATTTTTTATTCACATTATCACAAAGCCTAAGCGAGCATTTATCGCGCGGCCCGTTTCGCAAAAGATTATCCCCGGGATATTTTATTCCGCGGCAGCTCTACGGCTTTAATCACTTTCCCTCTGCGAGAGCGTGCGGCGGCGATGGCGGCGACGGCGGCAACGGCGTCAGCAGCAGCAGCAGCAGCAGCAGCAGCAGTGCGCTTGATCACAGGGAGAGAAGAACGAGAAAGGCGAGTAATTGCGCAGCCTTTGTGAAATAGACGAGGTGGCGAGGTCGCAAGTTTTGCATCGGTAATTCGAGCTGACCGGACGAGCGCAAGCCGCAGCCGGCGAAAGCTCGCGCAAGTTAATTATTACCTACCGTCACACAGGGGGATCGCCGGTGTGAACGGTCACCGCATCCTCCGGGTACTTTCAATCTATCTTACGGAGATCCCGCTCGGATCTCTCCCCCGATGCGGTCTCCTCGTGTCCTTCTCGGTCCGAGGAGAGGCGGCTTAATGAGGTAAGTGGACGCTACCGTGGCGGCTTCAGACTGCCGCGCGCGACGGACCTGGTGCATCCACGGCGCATCAAAGCGGAGATGTGCATTACGCTCGGCTAGCTTTTTTAGAAATTCTCCACTCGCACAACAAAAAAGAACTCGGCGATGATATATAAAATTCCGCCGATTAAACCGCTAGTTAATTTTTGCAAACTCGTTCTTCTCGCGCGGGTGTCGCGCGGAAAATTTCTGCGCTTACTTGTATCTTTTATGCAATTCGATTAAACGTGCGAGAGATATGACGATGGAAATTCCATCTCTCGCAAAGATCTTAAGTTGTCATATTTATTTTATCTCGCTTTCTTTCGGCTTTCTCGATAAATAAACTGCGCTTTATTATTTTGGAAAAATTTCTACAGGACGATAAATTATTTTTGTTTCGAAGAGAGAGAGGGCGATTTTCGCTAACAAATTACTGAGCTGAGAATCCGCGTTCTAGGGCGCGCGCGGATAAGATCGTTAAATATTTTCAAGCCGGATTGCGTCATTAACTCATGAGGATTTTCCCGTATAAACGCGTAAGTCCCGTATTCGGGAGGCACTTTCGATAATGATCGGCGAGAAACTTGAATTTACGGTACAGCAGCGGGCCGTTGGATTCTATTTCTGGCTCAAGATTCAACCCAATATGAATAACCGAATAATTTTAGCACACGCGAAAAGAGAGAGAGAGAGAGAGAAAGAGAGAGAGAGTGACGTCCGCCAATTTATTCTCAAAATCGATATCTGTCTCGACCGGATGGAGTAGTTTCACCGTTTCGCATGACCGCGCACGCACGTCCGTGTAAAAATTCAAATTTATTCGATCGACTCGATTTGTGCTAAAGAACCGCGCGCGCGCTCGTCGTTGTGATACATACGTTTAGCGAGATGAATCTTTTCCGCGAGCCGCCCTGTTCCCAGCAAAATAATCCGGACAAAGACTACGTGCTCGGAATCCGGTTGGTGTTCTTTGTGTGATGCGTTTTTGCTTTGAAATCAATTAAAATGCACGGGGGCGCGCGCACGTCGCGCTTCTTTTTCGCACCGTTATTGATGAAGTCGGTGTGCGAGACGCGCTAAATCGAATGTAAATTCTCGGTAACTATCAGAAAGTTGTTGAAAGGTTACAACGCAAAAAGAAAGAAACTGTATTTATGTGCAAAAAAAAAAAAAAAACAAAATTGTTTCAACGCGCATAAAACTTCTCTCGTAATTAAATGACGACACACGCGCGCTCCGTTGACAATATCCACGTTTTTTTTTTTTTTTTTTATCTTGTCTCGAGCAATAAACAATAAATCATTTGTCGTGTTATTTATTGCTTATACGTGTGTATCGCGAGGCCTACGACCTCGTTCGTGACAGTTGGATAATGAGCGGATCGTTAAAAGAACACGATACGACACTATCGGCGACAACGAACGAACAGCGAAACTTCCTCGTCAGTGCGCGCCAATTAATCGTCATTCGAGGCGATGCGACGTGTATTCGTTCGCTCTCGTTTGGCATCCATTGAAAAGGCGAAACAAACTCGAATGACATCCGCACTTCGGTACGCTATGACTGGAAACGTCAGTTTCTTTTTGCGCCGGAAATGAGATGGGCTTGGTTGCCGTGCTCGCGCGTAACGATGCAATTCGGCCGATACAGTTACTAATTCCATTCTGTTCTGGCAGTTAAATAAATTTCGTGGGAAAGGCACTCTCGCGGCGTGCCGAATGAACTGCTCGAGAATTGATTTGTATCTGCTTAGGAAAAAAAAAAAAAAAAAAAACCGTAATTCCGTCTGTCATCGCTCGGTTTGCTCGCGTGAGTTTTTTATCGGAGAAAAAAAGTACAATTTGTACAAAAGTCGATAAAAATGTTTTTTTTTTTTTTTTTTTTTTTACAATGACATATTAGTTTTCAAGTTTACACGCGATTCTCTTGCCGCGACAAAATAAATCGCGCGACATAATCGCGCACGTACCATTTCGCGCTAATTAATATGCATTGCTTTGTGTAATTCGTAAAACCGATCTCGTCGTAAATATACGTATCATATCCACGAAAGAGTTTTATGCCGCAAAATTCTCGTTGAAGAAATGGCTCTTGTGTTTATTTATTTTTTTTTTCTCTTACATGACGCGTATATTTGCGTGTCTTAATATTGGAGTCTCTCTCTCTCTCTTTCTCTCTCTCTTTTTTTCTCGTCGATGATCGTGATTCAAGGTAAAACGTTAACGAAATGTCGCGTAAAGCACGCGCAGCAGACCTTCGGCTACTTTTTCTTCTTTTTCTCTCTTTCTCTCTCTTGATGTCGTCCTTTCTCAGTCTCTCATTAATTATAAATCGTTGAACCATATCTTTCTTAAGACTCGCGATGTGAAGTTGGTGTTGCGACACACGCGGCGGGAAGAATTAATTCGTACGGCGCGATTCATACCCCGCCGCGCGTTTCTTATCTGATGAATGTTGCCTGGAGGCTGATGGACGAGCCGGCGTGTCTGTGTACTGTGCACCGAACGATGAGAGGATTATTCCGAGTCTTTGAGAAGCGATGCTTTAATCGCGAAGCCGAAATGCGCGAATTATTTCGGAAGAGCGTGAAATACGTCAGCTGAAGGAACGCGATAAATAGGTATTCCCCGCCCCGCGCGTCCCTCGCAGTTTTAGATAATATATACGGAATCTCTCTAGCCAGCTTTTTTCTTCTCACGAGGGCGGAATGGAATAAATTTGAAAATTAATTAAAGCAACGCCGAATCACGTTTGTGACGTTATATACATAAATGTTTCGCAAAGACGAGCCTTGTGCTGAACATGCAGCGCTGTCGTTGTCTTTCCGATTTGTCATTGATGAACGTTGTGTTGAATCCTGTTACAATGTGTGGCAAACAGAGAGCGTGTTGTAAATAAATCACAGTTAGGCTAATTTCAAGCTATGAAAAGAAAACAAATATAATTAATTTCGCGCAAATTATGTGATTCGCGTCGATATTTTGGATGCGATGTCGCACCTCGGTGTGTCGCTATTTTCTTCTTAATCAGATGAAAAAGTCCTACCAGTACTTACTCAGTACAGTCTTTCCGTAGCACGATGTCTCGCAGTGATTCACCTTCAGGAGAAGCAGACTCGTGACGGTCATTAGAAGGAAGCCAATGTTCCTCTCGGTGAACGCCATCGTGCCGGAGACAAGAAGTGCCGCAAAGCTTCCGTGACACAAAGTCCGAAGGTGTAACGGGGAAAACTCGGTCAGGACGCGAACTATCCCCGGCAATCAAGGTCTGGTCTCCTTTAAATCTCAACGAGGGAGGCGGAACGCGCGGCGAGCGAACGGAAAAGGGTTTTCAGGTGAGGTGTGCAAGCGGCATTCGAAGTCGTTCACTCCGTGGCACGTGTTGGACCACTCGGCCGATTAAATCGACCGATCTCCCGGGAGATATCGACGTTACCGAGGAATCGGAATCGCCTGCGCGAACCGGTCGGTGGAACGAACCGAACTAATAGCCGGCCACGCCGATTCCTCGTGACTTTATATATCGCGTGCCACCTGTGCCACATGGGTGTCCATGTAATTGTTAATGAAGCAGTCGGTGCAGTGGGGAGAAAGTGCTGCTTCGTACGGATGAATCTGATTTGGCACACGCGCATCCAAGGTCGATGAAGCAGCGATCCGAAAAACTGCCCGTCGACAGATTGTTTTTATAATTGCGATTGTTAGGACGAAATCTAACATCCATAAAGGCGAGCGCTTTTAGCGCGTCGAATATCGCCGGCGGTGTCTCGTCCTCTTCGGATTTTCTGAGAAGCGAGAAATTTGCGCTCTTTATGTGACCGGAGTGCGAATTCCGGACGAGAATGTTTGCACGGAAATAACATTCAACTTTTTCGTGTTCGTTTCCACAAAATTGCCAAATAAGTTTCGCGAAAATTTTTATTAAATCCATTTCGCAAACACGTTACGAGAAAAGACAACATTAATTTGATATTTCTTTTCTTTTTTTATAAAAAAAAAAAAAAAATACTTGATACAAACACACCGTGAGCCGATCGATTCTTTTAAACGCTTAATCTCGCACAAGTAAATGTCTCGAAGTGACTTTTCGTTAATTAAGCTCAATGTGAACCGATGTGTAACTTTGATTATATCGATTTTCGAACGTCTGATTTAACTTGTTCCTCGCAGGTTTACTCTTTTCGCGACTTCGTTGCCGGCAGAGCGAAATTCTCCGTAAAGTTTCAGAAAAATTAATCGCGATTTCTTTCTCTCTCTCTCTCTCTCTCTCTCTTGAATCTCGCCTGTAGGTGTCTATCGCTCGTCTGGCTTGACTTGCGTTCAAGTTCTTAAATTAAAGAAGGATACAAGTATCTGCAATAATGTGCTCCGCGAATGAGAAATATGATTACGAAATAAAAATGTTTCTCTTCGGATAAATTTCCCAAACAAGCTTTTGCAAATACGATTGTTCGCGAAATAATCAACTTAAAATAGAGAGAGAACAAAATGTCTATACTTCTAAGCTTTCACCGTCTGTACAACAATACGAGAGAGATATAAAAATTTAAATATATCCCGATGTTGCTGATATTAGCTTCGTTGTCTAATTTACAATTTCAGTGTAAATCTCATGAAAAATGTCGCTGTAGACATAAAGATTTTTGTTTAAAAATAATCACCATAAAAATGAATGCACGACATATTTCATTTCGACAAAGCACATTATCGCCTCTCACTCGTGACGATGGACATTGTGATACAACATACGATTAAAATCACAAAACTTTTATTTCTAGTCACAAGCTCTCGCGTTGTTGAGAGAAGAAATTGCGCGATTATTTATATATTTCAAGTTAAAATCGGAATGGCGGTCTGAATTTGATTTCTCTCTTCTAGGTCTTATAGAAATACATATATTGCTCGTATGATCAAAATAATACGCCTAGTTTGAATAATAAAAGACCAGTTTAACAGTGATTGCAATGTTACTTAAAATAAATATTATTTTCGCCACATGTGGCACGGAGAATAAAATGTCTATAAAGGATAAAGTTTGCGCAAATAATTCAATCGCGTTTGTAATTAAGAGAAAGAGCCGTATGATAAAAAAAAAAACTACTATTATTTATGAGACATCTGAGATCGTTCGCGTATATACTGCGGCTAGGAAAAATTTATTTTTGTAATAAGGACAATCATCGCGCTAGCAGGAGCGATGGGTCGCGGCATGCGGGCCGGAATCATTTTGTCGGCAAGTTTATTAGAATTAATTGCGCGCCGCGCGGCCAAGGAAAGTCGAGACATTTCTCCAGCGCTGATTACTACAAATGTACACTCTTTCATTCTGTTTTCCGCCCCTCGTTCCGACATTTCGTAAATCTGATAAAGTAAATTGGGAACAAAGTAGCCGCTAAAATCTACTTCTTCGACCTCTTCGTCCTTTAAAAGTGGACTTTTCTTTTTATCGACAATTTGTTATAACAATTGAACGAAACTTCAATAAAAAAAAAAGAAGACTGAAAGAGTGTTTTTTCGCTCGACAATTTTCTGCGATTCGCTAATTAAACATATATGCGTTTATTACACTTAGCGTTTTGTTTCGAATTTAAAACAGGACGCCGATCACGATTTAATATTCCGACTTAAATGATCCGTCTATAATTAACGTCAGATGTTCGGGCAACATTTTATTCATAATTTTCTTCTTTCACTCTCGTTCTCCATAACAAATTTTAAATTTTAACTGACTGACATTTTACTAGTTATCAATTTTTAGATTGTAAAAAAATATATGAAATTACAAAAATATATATAATTAAAATAAAATTGCGAATAACGCATCTTACTCTCAGATCGTGTAGCTTTATGATATTAAGTACACTTGTAAGTTTAATAAAAACAATTGCGTAGAAATAATTGTTCTTTCTGCGCGGACAATATTAATAAAAGCAAATTTACAAATGTATAAGCTCTTATATTATCAAACTAATTTTGATATTTGATCAATATGAGTTATGTGCTAGATGTAAGTACGCGAAATATATTTTCAAACTTATAAATTATTACACGTAAAAAATAAATAATAATTCAAACTAAATTCAATTCTCAAAAATTCATATTGGATGCTTGTTTTGCATTGCATATACATGAAAATTACCTATTCTATCCCTCTAACACTAATAAATTAATTTCGGAAGTTCAAAGTTCTAATGCATAAATGCGCAAGCTGACTTTGAGATAAGAAGTTAGTGTAGACACGGATTAAAGTACGCACAGGTGCTTGCGATTTCTCGAGAAATCAGAGAGAAATTGTCAGAGAACAAAATTGAACAATTAATAACGAAAAAATCTACCTTCTCATCGTGCTATAAAAAGAGACATAAAAAAAAAAACAACTTTTGCAAGACGAATGAGGAAAATACAACGCGCACACACGTGTGCGCATCTGATATTGTGCACTTTTCAGTATTACTTTGTTGACGTTACCGCGCAAAAAGGAACGCATGTAGGATCCTTCTCCATTCATAATCAGGTTATGACAGTTTGAGGGCAGAAGCATCTCGTCTCCGTATGACACAAATGTTTTACTAACTAGTTGAATACGTTTCACCGTACGGTATATACGCCAGACCACGTATAGCGGATATTATTGCATGGGAATATCTGGCACACATTCGTCCGGATTACGTGTTGTGGTAATATCGCCGTTGGATTCATAACATATTGAAGTAATAATTTTAATATCACGTTGTGGACAAATAAATTTACATATTTCTCGTGAAGAGATTTATGGCGCGCGGCAGTGTACGTATAATGGGTATGAATAGAAATGAAGCAGGGACGCTTGCGCCAGATAGCAGGAACCAATGAATTTTACTATCCAGCTTCTGAAGTGGATAGGAGAGATAAAAGATATATTTTGCGCTTTTCGCGTCTATAAATTCGTTTTCGAATTTATTTCGATACATTTGAATACTCGCAGTATTCTCGCGTTACAAGAAAGGATTGACTATTTGTCTCGTTTGCGAGGGCAGCTCTTCCTCGATATAAGTGTCATCCTTCAATTCATTAATTCCGATCTAGATCTCGTTTCTTTTTGCGATGCACATAACAAAGAAAGAATCCCCTCATCGTATTCCCTTTCTGTTTACCAACAATGTTTTGTTCAAACGATATTCTGATATCTGCGTGTCGATATCTCGCGCGTGTTTTCGATACATTTGATAATCACCATTTGGCGAAATCACCACGCCGCAAGGAACATTGTTGCAGCGATCGGTACTATCGGAGGTGTTGCCGGCGCGAATAACGCGACAACTACCGTGCTTTGTGATTCTCTCTTTCTCTCTTTTACTCACACTTTCTGTCTCTTTTTTTTTCGTCTTAAAACGCGCTCGTATTTGTATGCTATCTGGCAACAGGCATACGAACATGTGGCACACAATGTGATCGCACGACGTTTCTGAATTGTAAATTTTTCACTTCGAAACTTTATCGTTGTATATCACGAAAAATCAGAAACAAACAACAAAAACGCAAGAATACTTATTTTTTTTTAGTTTTGTAACATGAATCGAACGAGAGTAAAAAGAAGTCGATCGGTTCAGTCGTTATTAAAAAATGGCTGATTAAAAATCTCCCCTTCATTGAAATGCCTGATTTTCGCGTATAAGAGGCACAGTGTGCTTCGCGCAGTTCGTCACTTCGTTGCGTGTGAACTTGGTGCGAGGCACTAGTGAAACTATGAATCGGTAAATATTTACTGATTTTCAGTGCAATGCACTGATTCTACTTAAGAGAGTACCGTGCCTCTTGATACTGTTTATATGTATCTGTATATGTATACATATATGTATTCCGCGAGATTTATTCCTAGTAGTCTCTCTTTCTTTTTGCGACGTCCGAACAGGTTTGCAAATTATAACGACCGGATTTTCGAAAATCACAACTAGCCCTTGTAACAACGTGCGATTTCTGAGAATCTTCACGTATCCGGTCGTTTTATATTATTCCCACATATCTCTCCTTTTTGGAGAATTTTCGAAGAAACTGGTAAAACGCGTTGTGAAATCGAAGAAATATTAATATTGCACTCAGAGATGTGCGGTGATTTGACCGGTTCTGATAGGACTTTACGCACACACAGATCGCGACAAATCGTCTGCTACGTGAAACGCTGCAAATTAACGCTGTTTTCCGTTTGTTTTTTACCGCGCGCGAAAGGTGATTCGCGCGATTGCATCGCAAAAACGCGTCATACAATACCGCAGCGAGTGCGAAAACCTTTTAAATGCAGCACTCGAAACGCAGAAATTTCACTCGGATAATCGATCTTGTAATTAATTTGCGGTTTAATTAATTAGATCGACGCTCTTGAACACGCTCTCGATTACGCAGATAAAAGAGCACGAAAAAAAAGTAAAAGTGTCACGAGATAGTTTTAACTATCGAGCTTATATAATCATTCGCGACTTCTCTCTTAGTATTG